GGGCACGGACTGCTAGGGAACCAAGGCCAGACCTCTATGGTGGGAGGCTACGGCTCTGCATGTAGAGACTACGACACGCGCGAGGATCCCTGCCACTCCCGTTCCGTCCTGCCAGAGCGCCCCGCTCCAACGACAACCTGAAATTGACACATTGAGTTGAAGCAGAATTATATCTATAGCTTACATATATAGCTACAATATTAAGGACTCACGAATTCACTGATGTCTATCCTGTTGTAGTAACGAGCCGTTGGCCATAGTCAAACCAGTCGTTTGCACATAAGCATTGAATACGACTACTGTAGGTCCACAAAAGAGGTAGCTATTGTACAATGGACTAGTATAATGATTGATGAACACACCGACAGAAAGGTCTACTAACAGGTTGTCGTCGCATCGTTTTCGATTGTCAACCTTGCTCGTGAAGAAAAGGGATGCAAGCTGTCTAGTTGCTACTTTGTAACATTATAATCTGTCTCGTACATACATGGCGGTGCTTAAAAACGCAGACTGAACTTGCTCAAGTAGTTACAAGCCACGGATAGTCGCTGCCTAAAGATATCGATTGTTCGAATGATGGGCATCAAGAACAATGATGGACTCACCACCATGTCGTCTGAGCAGAGCCGCTGATATATGGCCACAATAGCATCAAGACTGCAGTGCATTTCAGACTATTCTTAACAGCCTTTCTTCGCTTTGCCCATACCCATTTCTCGGCGCCGACTGCCACATAATGATCCCAATTTGGTTTACGAAGCCACCACCACCAAAGCGTCACAGCCCAAGGGAACGCATTAAATACCTTTCCTGTGCCGTTCGTACGCGTCCAGGAGTAGCATTGCACGAGCACAGAGCGGGATATACGTTCTTGAACCTTGGCATTATATGCATCTGTGTGTGAAGCTTTGGCAGTGAAAGATGAAACAGAACCGCTGAGGACCAGCTCTATGAGTTGAAGGATATATCCAATCTTGTGACAAACTTCAGTAGAAACACACAAAAGGTACACTGGATTTACTTGAACTTCTTCCACGAACAATGATGATGTTGGTGTTCCGGTGTTTGGTCCTGGATTTGATACATCAGGAGAAATTTGATGATAGCATGTCCCTTGTGAGCTCACCAGCTAGCAAGTAGAAGTTTGGTATGTCAGGGACTGAAGTCCCGAGGTATGCGGTAGGGCCACCATGAGCCTCATAATACCCTTGGATAGTAGCTCCGTTCGAGCCTCGAACGTGCATTGGGTATCGGTCCTGTTTCTGCAATTGGTATCTGATAGAATATTAAGCTTGTGCAAATAACACTTACGCCGATAAACCCAGTCGCGTATACGATGACATCGAATGGCAACATTTCACCTGAACTAATGTGAGGAGGGTGATGACGTCGTTGACAGCCCATCCATACCAGTTTTTGTGATGATCCCATTCTCCGCTATGTTGGCAATTCCGTCGAAGTTCAGTGTCAAGTTAGGCCGATGGAGAACATCCAGGAAACCGCTGTTTGCGACTGCATGAAATGAGAAAGAACACATTCTGAGTTCAATCACCGACTACGAACCGGTCCGCTTGCAGCCTGGAGCTGTGGAGCATGTGAGCACACAAAAAGTTCCTTGATCAGCCACGTACGATAATCGGGTATCATACGATCATGGTATCTACTCGGTGCCTTATCGAGGATGTATTTCGTCATCGCCTAGCAGAAAACGTTAGAACGAATGCCTCGAGACTTTCGGAGTCTGCTCACCTCGCGTCGTTTCTTGAGAATTTTGTCACTTGGGTGTACGAGAGAGGGAAAATCAAACTACAACAATGTCAGCAAGCTAAAACCCTGCAACGTTTGGTCTGACCCAGAACATGATCCAAGCTCGATGCAGTCGCATTGCCAGAGGGATGTTGGCAAATATCCATTTCTCGGTGTCCGAGTACGGAATATGTGGCTTGAATATTTGTTTAGTTGTTAATATTATCGAACATGGTACAAAGAATCTCACTCGAGTGTTGAACCAGGTCGGGGTGCGGATGAAGTTGACTACTTCGACAGACGGGTCTTCAGATACAGATGGCACGAACTGTGCTCTTGTTGTATGTCACAACCGATTACCCGCGCAGAAGTCGTCGTGACTCACCCGGAGGAGGCATTTCCAATGACTGCGACGCGCTTATTCCGCAGATCTATCGAGCCTGGCCACTGTGCGGAATGAAACGAAACTCCTTGAAACTTCCGAACTCCAGGGATCTCGTTTGGGATCCTTGGGGCCTCCAAGTTACCAATGGCAGATATCACAACATGGGCCACGCTCGATATTCTCTTGCCTGAAAAGACATCTTCTGCGACGACGATGTATTGTTGTTTGGCATCATCCCACTCGGCAGATAACACTTTTGTGTTGAACGCGATGTGTGGATATAGATTGTATTTCTTCGAGAGGTCAATCCAGTAGGCTTGAATTTCCGGTTGAAGGCCATGCGACTTGTTCCAGTATGGGTAAAGGTCTGATGATAAGCTGTACCAATGAATTTGGACATCCGACGAGCATCCCTAGAAGAAGTCTTGAGGTGAGCGATATTCTGCAATTTCAGTCGTTGACCCTACTGGATATGTGTTGGCCTGTGCACAAAATTGTCAGGAGAACATGTCGCGCATCACAACAACGTACCCTCCACACCCCACCAACTTCAGACCCTTTCTCATATATCTATTGAAATACTCAGCGATCATACCACTTGTTTGATGGATGCACCCACCGTAAAATCGTGAAATCCGAGCTTAGTTTTGAGAGCAATGGCTTGGGACAACCCGCCAACACTTCGAAGCGGATATTGAGTTGGCGTAGAATCAAATGAAAAGCGATACTTACCCTGCGCCGATAATGGCGACTCTTTTCTGGAGGTCAATCATGTAAGAAATGGGAGTTCTCAAGACTGTGAGTATTCCTTTAATACTTGCTCACCTAGTATGACAGACTTTATCGAACGAGGTCATATGGCCATGACAAGCTCTATCGCGCGACATTGATACAATCCCCGGGCTAGAAAGCCCGTATCCTAAATATGACTGTGAGATATCTCGCAATCACCGCCAGTCGAGACTCGGCAACATCAAGTTGGTTTGGCAATTGACGGGTAATTGCAAAATGAAGCATCTATCCCAGGTCTGTCCTGACTCGGATGCATCTTAGCGCCACATTTACTAAAAGCAGCACTTGAGCGCTTGAGCGCTCGGCTTCGGCTTCGTCGGGGGGAAGTATGGCAGGACAGGTAATTCTCATGGGTCACAAGTGCATGAGATGTTATTGCGGTTGTTTCTATTTTTATAGATAGTTTGTCATTTATACCACTTGACCTGGGTTGAGAGTGCGTGGATCAATTATCCACTTCTTGATTTTGGTGTCAGACTCTTGCCCACCTCCTGGTTGCGGATTACCATGCCAACTGGGATAGCAATGACGAAGTCAGGAACTGGCGGGGGCGGGCTCGATTTCCAAAATCTGAAGTGGAAAGGTTCCGCTAAATTGGGGCAAACAAAACACAAGCCCTAGGAGCTTACATGGAAACAAAGCATTGCTCGCGTTGAAGTAATATGGTGAGAATGCCACTGACGTGCTGGCGCAGTTGGACGATGCATTGATGATTGTGCATATTTGATTAGCATTTTATGTCTCCACAACAAACACTGTCGCTGTCGACTTACTTTACTTGTTTCCCGCCACACCATACAGCCATAATTTTTTTACTGCCAAGTTTCATCCTGTAGGGGACGGAAGTGGTATATATGACACAATTGCATCAGTCAGAAGTGCAGTGTCCAGGGCATAAAGTCAAACACGAATATCATCAATAACGCTCGCTACAAATTAGTGATCACTCGTCGAAGTCAATCATCCTGCTCACAGGATTTCTGACATTCGCTATTTCATCAACGGCGTCATCCATATCTTCTTTTTCTTCGTCATTACTCTCGGAGGCTCCTCTGGCATGCTTCAACCCAAACATACACTCACTACTCGATTCAAGATTGATGTGCTTCGGATTGCTCGAACGTCGGCGGTGCGCAAAAAGAATTAACGCATGCGGAGAACTCCAGGTCCAGGTCCAGTTGAGTCGCCGGTGGTGAAGAGATAAAATAAAGATCTCCTTCAAACTGGTAAACGGTACCATCATATATATTGCGTTGAAATGGTGTACAGAACAAAATTTAGGACGTGTGACGAATCACGATCGGCGTTAGCCGCCGAGAGGTGGGTTTGTTGCAACTGTCGTGTGTCTCCAGCAGAGGTTTGAAAAGAACGCCAAGACTCATCGAATTGTTGTATTTCGGTCTTCAGAAGCTTCGAGTTGCAAATTGTTTTGCCAAAGAAAGAAGGAAACCCCCGGGGCAGTGAGTACCTCTTTCTGGGACGCTGACCCTTGGAAAGGCTCAAGGCTGAGCCTATGGCTCGGCGGACCCGGGGCTTTGTTCTGATCAAGCGATGTTGGAGCGTTCGCTGGTGGCTATCTGGCCCATCCATATCAAGAGCTGACACTAAGTAATTCCTTATCAACTCAGCATGTCGGCCCTATGTCGCCTCGTCCGGTAGCTCTTATCAATTGCAATGCGCATGCTGTTCTTGTCCTATATCAAGGCGATTCGCTTGGTCTATCTTTGCACTCACGAACATCTCGCTGGAGCCCTGACTCGCCTGGATGGTCACTTCTGGTTCTCCTCGTATAGTAAACTGCGAGACCATCGTGATGCCTCTTGTTCATCATGCAACAGTTCCGAGAAAGCCTAAAACTCCTCTTCCACAACTCCAGATAGGCATACTTCTGATGTTGGAACTTGCGGAAACTATAGCTTCAATGTCCATATACCCGTATATCAATCAGGTATGAACTTTTACAACGGGATGTCATTTTGCTGCAACATCCGTGGTCGATACTGTAACTGAAGCTGTTTTCAGCTTATCAGAGAAGTCGGCATCACTAGAGGTGACGATGCGGCGGTAGGATACTATGTCGGATTAATTGTAGGTGGCAATATCATGACTTGCAAAAATTATCATTCCCTTTGTCAGGATTCTCTGTTTTACTTCGCCCAGGCACTGACAGTATTGGGCTGGAGTCGGTTGTCCGACAACATTGGACGCAAGCCAGTGTTATTAATCGGACTAACAGGAGCTTGCATTTCGATGATATGTTTCGGCTTTTCGACAACCTTCTGGAGCCTAGTCATGAGGTTTGCTTCAGTCGAAGGAGATATTGCAATGCTGATGTGATCTCCCTAGCCGCTGCATGTGGGGAGTATTGAATGGCAACATTGGAGTCATGAAGACTGTGATGGGTGAATTGACGGACTCTACGAATATGGCTCAGGGATTTGCCTTGATTCCGATCATGTGGTCAATTGGAAGTTCCGCTGGGTAAGCGGAATCGTTTGACTATTGTGACGGATGCTGATGAAATTGGCACGCCAGCCCTTTGATGGGGGGAATGCTGGCGCGGCCACAGGATCACTGGCCTAAATTATTTATCAATCCATTTTGGGGAAAATACCCGTACTTTCTTGCTTGTGTATTGTCTGCTTCTCCGCTCCTCTTGGCCTTTTTCATGCTGTTACACTTCTTTGAAGAAGTAAGTCCCAAATCATACCTTCCTCAACGCCACGTTATTCACGTTTAGCAGACATTATCAAGCAAACGTCGACCAAGGTCGACATTAGCCACGCCCAGTGTTTCTCACGGCGCCGATGATCAGGAAGCGTTTGTGCAACAATCTACGACAGATCCGCTCTTGCTGTCTCTGCTCACACCTACCATTGTTATTCCGATCGCAAGCTACGCTATGTTGTCCTTTCTTGACACGTCTTTCAGGGCTCTCATACCGCTGTTCCTTTCCACGCCCACCCACCTTGGCGGCATGGGTCTTACTCCTTCTTCTATTGGTTTGTGGCTGGGGTTCTCTGGGATCGTAGATGGACTCTTTCAGGCATTGTTCTTGGCCAGAATTGTTGATTGGGTTGGTCCCAAGCATCTATTCTGTGTATCAGCGTCGTGCTTCACACCGCTTATGGTCGCGTTTCCGATAATGTCGTGGCTGGTACACACAAGGGGGATGGTTGATCATGCAATTATGTATGCCTTGCTTGGCCAGCTTATTCTGACAGTGACGTGGGATATGGCATTTGGTGCGTGTTACAATGAAACTTGTTGTGCCATCACAGGTAACCAGCTTAAATATAGCTACTGTTTTGATGTTTGTCACAGCTTCTGCCCCTGCGAAGAATGTTCTTGGCGTTATCAATGGTCTCTGCCAAACCTCTGGATCGATAGCTCGTGCCCTTGGGCCCGCCTTAACTACATCGCTCTTCGCATTCTCAAAGAAACATAATATTCTCAATGGAAATGCAGTATATGTTGTCTTGATCATGCTGTCCGGTGTCCTAAGGTGGCTGGGTTCGCAGCTGCCAGATGAAGTACAAGATAGAGATGAGTGAAAGGTCAGTACTTTTCGAGATTTTTCACCTGAAATGCATGAATAGTGAATACCCAGACGCTTCGAAAGACCTGTGGGTTCCCGTACAGAATTTCGAACATAGCAAATGTACCATTCGAGTGTCTGCCGCCAAGCTCATTGATTTATGTACTTAATACATGTATACTACTTAGTACTCTTGCCCATTCTAAAAGCATGCTTAAATCCTCTAACCATCTAAATCAATTGTGACCAACGGACGGTTGCACCGCCACCGAACCGGACTTTGCCGCGTCTCCCGAAAGTAGCTCGTCTCTTCTGAATCGCCTCTCGATAGATTTCGACAATGTCTCTGCTCCGCTCTTATAAGCAGGCAATACCGAGACGGCCACTGCCTGCGTGTTCAATTTACACGCGCCATTTCTCTGCAGAAAGTCAAAGCCAGCCAGTTCGCACTAGCGATGCCCCCCAGAAAGAGACCACCCAAATTACGGAGGTTGCTCATACTGATGTATTGACGGCTGAAGTTATAAGTGGCGCTCCAGGTGTGTTTCAACCAACTGACACTGAAGATGCCATATTTAATGACCGTCAATCCAGCGGAGCTCCGGCATCGCATGGTACGGATCTATCAACCAGCCCGCAACACCATGCAAAGCGGAGCAGGAAAGTCAGAGCGGTGGCGCATTGACTGGGATGTTCTTCAGGGAGCAGGTCGGTGGGAGAATCCTCTGATGGGTTGGGCCAGTTCGTGAGTGGTTACTCCCTTTCACCTGAAACGGCGTTTATCACTGTCTGTACAGCGCGGATTACATGCAGGGCACCAGGGTGTCATTCAGAAGCAAGGAAGATGCAATGCACTTCGCAGAGAAACAAGGTACGTTTGATCTTTACCTCAGAGTCTATTTCCCTCATTGTCTTTTTTATTCAGGTTGGAATTACTACGTGTGAGTGCATCCCTCGCTTTTGACATGAACTGGACACTAATGAGCTGCCGCAGACAACCACCTCCCACCAAGAAAATCCCTCCGAAGAACTATTCAGAGAACTTTGTCTATAAACCCAACACACTACGGATAATGCGCACGAAGTAGACCATTCTGTTCGTAGAACTAACTATTACATCTGGTCCATAAGTTTTGCAATCGTTGAAACTTAATTTGCACCCGTGTTGCTCATTGGATAAGATATAACGCGTAACGTACTAAGCAAGCGCTTGTAAACTTAAACTTTTGGATAATTTGAATAAGTGTAAGTCACAACGCATGGATTAATGCAACGTCGGAGCATGATGCATGATGCCACGATGCCGGCCAACTAGTCCATGGTGGCCTGAAGCCATACGGATATAGTTCAACCTTGACTCCGGATAGTTGCATAGACGTCATTCGAGGGGCACAAATTCTCTTCGTCTCCACTTCTGTGGAGTCCCACCTATACCAAGTATCGTCTTCGTCTGGACCAAGCTGTCGTATTTTAAACTGACGGAATATTGTCACCATCATGGCCGACATTCAGACCAGGCTCTTTTCAAAGGATTATAGGTTCAGTCTATTTCCTTCCTCAGAGTCTTCAGTGCATGTGAAGTTAACATTTGCTACTGTCTCAGTGGCCTTGTTAATCAGTCGGTCATAACAATTGTAGTGGCCGTGATGTCTGTGACGGCGCACGAGATCCTAAAGAGAAGGAGACGCGGATTTCACATACAGCCTGAGGGGCTTGGAAGCGTCGAGTCTTGGGAGTTTGGCTAGTGAGCACACTCATCGTTTCCTCATTGTCTTCTAATTGGCGTTCGAACTTCTAGCCTGTATCAAGGTCGTTCGTGGGCACGGTTTGTCGCTCGTAACTCCTGTTCTTTCTCATTCTAATAGCGGTAGCAGGAATCCTTCCCCGCCGACGCCGAAAGGCTGGCCATTATCTTGGGTCAAGGACAGCATCACTCTCTCCCAGGCGAAGCTTAATGAACTTAGAGGAGTCGATGCAACGTTGTATGTGCGTTTCCTGCGCGGGAGCCGTGAGTACTTGCAACATGCACTTGATTCGTATCCGCTAATTTTGCTGTCGTCCATAAGTATTGTTTGTCCTCGTCCATACGTTTACGACCACTCCTATCCTTCTTCCGATACATGTCCACTTTTCCCCGGATGACGTTTCACCGCAGTCAATGACAAGAGCATCAATTTCTTCACTCGTAGAAAATCAGCAAGGTCGCTCCCTACTCTGGATTCACATTTGCCTCCTCTTCTGGATCACGCTTACCTGGATGTGCAACCTCTTTTACATTTGCAATGGAGCATTCAGATTACGAGCAGCCAAAATAGAAAGTGCCATACGCAGCGTGGAGTCCGATGCCATGATCGAGAGGGAACCACAATATCATCCCCATCCTCACCCACAATACCCCTTCCAGGATATTCCATCCCTTGACACTGACCAGTCCAACCGTGGTTTACGCCTGCGCACCGTGATGGTGACCAACGTGCCGGTACAGCTTCGCTCAGAAAAGGTGCTCAAGGAGTACTTTGAGTATTACCTGTCGCGATCTCTCGACAACCCTTCCCTTGGCTTCTCAGCATCAACTCAACCCGGCCTATTCAACAAATTGTTCGCTTTTGGTTTCAATCGAGCGAAGCGCATTCCGCAGAGTATAGGTATGTCTACAGGCGAAACTGCCAATGGGAGTCAGGAAGGAAGCGGCGGTGCCCCACTTGGACAAATTCCCGGTCCAAACCTGGGAAATGTGCCACTCATCGACAGAGTTGTCATTGCACGACGAATGACGGAACTGGCGTCATTGCTGGAACGGCGCGAGGAGATCCTCCGTCGTTTAGAGGGCGCGCACATCAGATTGGCAAAGAAGGTACTCTTAGCGGTGCACGATGTAGAACATATACCCAGCTCAAGGGAGGATACCACCATACCCAGGCCTGCTAGGACTCCAGATGTAGAAAGCGGATGTAGTCAAGTCCACAACAGACAACAGAACAGTGATACAGACTTACTCGTTCAGGCACTCTCACCGTTTCTGGTTGATCACCAGTTAACCAGCGACTCTGCGCCCTCAAAGCACAAACTCATTTTGAAAACGGAGGGTGCGTTTCACAGAAATCAGCGGCTACCACGAACTGACAGTGGTAAAGTAGATCCGGAGACGGATAACGTCGACCCACACAAGACGATATGGGATGCGCTTCTCAGTTTACCACGAAACATACTTGACCCATACCAGCCGTTGATCCACCTTTCTGTCTTTTTCCGTGGGAAGACCGTGCCGAGCATTGATTATTACACTGCCAAACTCCACCTCCTTACATCGTTGATAACGAAGAACCGAGCGCGGGCCGCTACGGAATACGACGCTGTATCAACAGCGTTTGTAACCTTCAAAGATCCAGCAGATGCAAGGAAAGCGTGCAAGTACTTAGCAGTGCATCCTAATAACCCACTTGCATGTCTTGTGACGATGGCCCCGCAGTATGAAGATATTGATTGGACAAGGGTCATGAGGTCAACTTACCAAGTGGATATTCTCAAAGATTGGGCAGTAAACATTGGGGTCTGGTGAGTGCTGGTCCGCTGTTGTATGACCACGAAGGGTAGTTAACTATGTCTCAGGGGATTCACGATATTCTGGGTTTTTCCGGTGTCATTGTTTGTTGGTCTTGTTTCCATTCAAAGCATTTCGACGCTCTGGCCCAGTTTAGTATGTGTAATCCTTCTTCAGCATTTTCTGTGCTGAACATCCATGTAGTACAATTATCTATCCAGTCACCCTTGGGAGGAAGAGGTCATTCAATCATTCCTTCCAACTGTCCTTATCTCACTACTCGCGATCCTCATTCCGCCCATTCTTCTACTCATTGCGAAGAAGGCCCACACGATCATCACTCTTTCCGTAATGCACGACACGATTATGACCCGTTACTATAAATTTTTAATTGTCAATGTCTTGGTGTTTTTCTGTGTTGGAACCGCTGCACTCCAGTCTTTCCTTTCGTTCAAAACCGTATCCGAGAGTGGGATAATAAATACTGTCGCTGATAGTTTCCCGACAGCTGGACCTTTCTATGTTGGATGGTGTAAGTCCAGTTTTCTCGATGTCTTGCAGTGAATTCATGGGTTCTACTTGCTTGCAGTGATCTTCACCACTGCAATTCATGGAGGCTTAGAGCTTGCGTTGTGTAAGCATCCATAACTTATGGCATTGCGTCTCATTCTTACGTTGTGCTTTGCAGTTGGTGTAGGTTTCTGTGAAGTCATAGTCAAGATCGTCATGATGTTGACATCCCTCGCTGTAGTTGCCTTTGTTCACCTATCCCTCCACCAAGCGACATGTAACTCCGAGGAAAAGAGCTGTTGGAATTCGCCCACGAACATTTAATTTCTATTGTGAGTTCCATCATTTTGTGCAGTGAAGTTTCTTACAGCGTTTCTGAATGCAGACTGGCTACCAAACCACCTCCTGGTCATTCACGTGTTACTCCTCTTCGCTCTACTTAACCCACTTGTCATACCCTTCGGGTTACTGTATTTTTCAGTTGAGACTGGTTTGTTGTTTACATGTTTCATGATAGAATCTATGCTGACCAAAACGTTTTCCAGCTGTTGTAAAAAATCAGGCATGTTACATCGTACCCTTCGTGAAGCCAGATCTGACTCAGATTGGCAGTTGCTACATGTTTATGCGAAGAACTATGAGTGTAATGGCCAAATACTGTTGATCCGTATCATTCGTTATTCATTGGATGGTATGATACTCATATCTGCATACCTGAACGCCGTTGATATATTTCTATTCATAGGATTGATGCTGTCTCAAGTTCGTTCTAATCTCTGCCACTCGCTGTACGATCAACTAACTCTTGGCTTAGTTCGTATTCCTGGCGTACATGGCTGTGTTGCGGATAACTGCCAATGTAGCACTATCGGCTTTCTTATTCATCTTCACCGCGATCGTCAAGGTGATGTGCGTGTGTTTTTATCTTTCTATCAACCTCTGCTCTGATAATTCACGGTCAGTTTGACACGAATGTGCCGCGCCAGACTCGAGCAATATGATACTGAGGAGGCGCAGGTGGTCTGCAGGATGGGCACGGGAGAATCTGAAGACAGCCCTCAAAGCCAGATTATCTCATCAAACCACCCTGGTAGTGCTAAGGACGTAGCAGTCGACGCTGAGGCTCACCCTTCGAGATTCCAGGCGTGGCGCTTACCGGCCTGGGTGAATTTCTCTTATTCGACCGTTCCCCGAAGACCCCGACCGCATGAGCATCGTAAACCGAATCCGTTCGGCCCTCACGCCAGTTCGTTCTCACAACTACATTCAGTTGATGAAAACGAAAAAACCCCATCGACCTCGACCCGAGGAGAGCCATCTACTGCCATTCTGGATAGGACGGTTGAATCCCCACTTTCTGAACGGCAACGTCAGCCTCTAGCACGCATCTCGACTTCTCTCGTACAACGACATCCACCTCTTGCAACGTGGGATGATGAACCCCGTCACGACATCCCTTATGACAACCCTTACTACACACGACCTATCACTAATGCCCTCTGGCTCCCAAGAAATCCGCTAGGTCTTCTGGACCTCGATGACACTGTTGATGTTTACCAAGCTTTAACAAGCGAGCCCGGCACTGGTGATTTGAGTCACTCGTTCGATCCCGACTCTTCCGCTTCCCCCGCATTTCAACTCCCCAGTTCAGTGCCCGGCGACGAACCTAGGCAATACAGCGGTAGTGAAGAGATTAATCTTCCTGAAGGCATCCAGTCCCGCATCGTCACCATTGATCAAGAGGTTGATGTGGAGTCCACAAGACCACGCCGTCCATCCTTATTCTCTCGACATCGCTCAGGTAGCAATGTCAGCATGAAAAGTGGTGACCGCGGTCTTCCAGGTCGATCGCAGACCACGGACTGCAATCGCCCCGCATTCCCTCGCAAGTCGTTCTCCGACCACGCACCAAGATCTCTTCGTGAAAGGGCATCCTCGTACCTTCCGCCACCCAACCTTCACTTCCAATCTCAGTTTCGTGGCCTTGACCCTGGGTCTCGGCCAGATCTGCACGCACAGGCTGAATTTGCGCGTTCTACAGCATCGATCATGAGGCATGGTGGTTCGCAGGTATCGCTACATCCCAACAATGTGATTCCTCAAGAAACTGTCGTGACAACCCGGGAAGCCGTCGTGACTGAAGCAATCGCAGAAGAACATTTAGCAACGGAGGAACGGTTGAGAAAGGAGCATGCAGCTGCTGAGTTAAATCATAGGTCGACGAGACGGCCTTGGTTTACATCTTGGCTCTATGCTAAGGTTCAGTGACGAACTGAGTACCCTAGGGGCTGATTATTATTTTGGAACACCTTTTGTGGAACCGACATGCTATGTGATGACCAGTCGGAAGTGCATCTAGTTCTAGGACAAATTCAATGGCGCGGCCAGTGCCGTCAGAGGTCATTCTAGAAGATGCTCGAAGGGTCTCGATTCTTACTGAACCCCGCAGGTACTGGTGGGCGCATCGATCCGCACAATTGCCATCTTAATGAGCTCCCACGCAACTCAGGTAAAGACAAATAAATTGTCAGAGACCAAGAGATATGACGACATATGATGATACAATGACGTGAGAAGCACAAGACAATGCAGGATGCTCCAACACTCAGATGATTTATACGAGCCCTATAGCGACTCTTTGTCAACGCAAAGTTGTCATGAAAGAGTATTAGAAACAAACCGATGACGCCACAGGCGGCTCGTCCGCCCGCATTTCCGGTCTTGAGAGACTCTTCATTACCGCCATTTCCTAGATCATCGGTGCCCTACGCAGCGCATTAGTAAGGAGCCACGTCTAATATGTAAGGCGCCATACCGCATGAACAACGACAGCCCGTCTGAAAACGGAAATGAGTTTCGTACTATTAAGCGTTACTGCATATCTAGCTTACCCAACTATGCTCGTGGGGCCATTCAAGGAAATGAAACTGTCTTCGAAGGAAATGGTGGCTGTGCCATATTCATCGCTCGCGATGTTTCCTAGGTCACCAACATGCCTGGAAGAGCTCGAGGGAGCACCGTGGGTTTGGTCGTATGGATTGAAGTGCGACCCTGTAGACAAACAGCCACCGCTGAGGTCTCCCAGAGAGCTATCGATATAATTGGAATCCTTGACCTACTTCGCGAAGTTCGAAGCTGAAGACTCACTGGACATGGAAACCACGCTGAGAAGAAGGGTCAAGGTTGGTTATTTCTCCCGAGACCTTGACTGGCCCATCTGCTGAGGACTGCTCGAACGTAATAGTGCCGGCAACTGGGGAGTCGCCTTTTAGTACTACGACCGCCTGTGTGTTTTGTCAGCCACGATGATGGAAGACCGTTGATAACGCACCTTTTGGACGATTGCGGTTTTAGATGGCTTGAACAGCCATGTGTAGCCGAAAAATAAAACAGCAACAGTGATTGCTGCAATGAAAAAGACAGGTTTCCTAGACTGTTTTTGATTTGGAGCGAATGTGTTCATGATGGTAGACTTGTACTAAAAGTCACGCGCAGTGAGGCATTTAATATCAATGAGGCATTTATTTGAGGCACAGCTTTCGGCCCGTGGCGCTCCAGGGCGGACCAGGTGAGGCCGGGTCCCACTCTCGACAGGTTTTCCCACTAATTGGTAATTTATTTTCTCACTGTAGCTTCGTAAAGTGTAACGAAACGCACTTCGAATGTTAACTTGACATCGAGTGTCTACTTCGATTCGCTTCGTATAATATGGGTTAAATTGAGTTAGATACCGATCGGGAATTGCCGAGAAGAAAGATATAAATGACGCCATGGCGGTGGCGCTTCCAGGTTGCGCCGCTACGATCTAGAAACACGTGCAAGAAAGGAAAGTCCAATTGCTGTGCCTCAATATTCCGATCGTAAAACACTCGAGAGTCGAGACAGCGAATTCAATGACATCATTCCCCATCGAGACACTAGCTCGATCGAGCCTAGTAGTGCGGCAGAAATCCGCACACAGACATAATAAATTAATTATCGTCCAGTCTATTCGTGTCTACTAATCGGCACAGAACGCTGGGTACATCCTACTAGCTAGTACTATTACGGTGTACATGCACGGGCCTCGAAATTGTCTGCTTATCATGGAACACCAGCTCCCCAACGTCAACCACATCCACACTTGCGTGATTCAAATCGGATTATATATAGCGATGCACATGATAACACTAAGCAGACACAACAAAAAAGAAAAATGCTAACGTACTATGTAACTCGGCGATAAATGCGAAAAGTCATGAGAACTGCAACACTCCCCAATACCCCTTTCATATCACCAACGGAGAAAATATTGTATATGATGCGTGGCATGTACTGCGCGAAATGGCTTTAGCGAGCCCGAAGGGATCGACGAAGGAAGGGGATGAATGGAGCACGTCCCTGCTCGGCTACTTAGAAAAATAGATACGTTGTGATAAAAACGCCAAGCGCAATAATAACAACCACCTGTAGTGGAACGCCTTCCTGGTGGATAACGCTTTCATGCTCCACCATGGTGCCGACGTCAGATCCAGCATACGTCTCTCCGTCGTCTGAGAGCGCCGATGTATGTCGCCTTCGGAAGTCCGACGGAGCGATCGAGGTAGGTGCAATGGACTCTGGCGCTAGAGAGCTTGGATCAGGCACAGCCGCAAGCAGATCCCGAAGTCGTTGTATCTCGTCCTGAGCTGCGATATACTTCAATTCCAAGTCTTGGTTGATAGAGGGCACCCGTGCAGCTGGAGGTGAGGGTGGCGGTGATGACGAATGCACGTTGACGTTGACAACGCCAACTCCGCCACTAGTAGATCTCTGAAAATCAAGTTCATCCCGATAAGAACCATTCTCTTGAGAACTGTTCACTTCTCGCTCGGGTGCAGGCGGCGTGGGCGAGCGCCGAGGTTGCACAGCCGGTGCAACTTGAACTGCGTCACCATAAGTGAATTCTGGTATAGGGGGAGTAACGCGTGGCTCTGCATCCCTAAGAGTTGCATAGGTCTACAGATAATGCGATCGTATTCAGCAATCCGAATGCCCCCAGGTTGTCAAAGCACTCACAGATGGTCCACCAGCGGGCTCTACAGAAGGGCGGGGAAGCGCAGGGGGTTCCTCTTCCTCCTCTTCAACAGTTTGACCTTCAGGCGGGAGGTATACAACACGGAGTTTTTGTTGATAAACTTTCCACTCGTCACCAACGCCTGGTTGCGCATTCCACTGTGAACCAATATGAAGATGATAATAAGATATGCATGAAGAAAGACTTACGAATTCTTGTAGGTCTCGTGTCTCCTTTTCGGGTGTGATGAGGGTACTTTGAATCAGGAACTTGTCCTTGCATTTGGTCGACAAAGGTGGTTCGTCTTTCATCGGTTGTAGCATTACTATCGAAGATGTGAGCAAAGTCGAGCATGGACTGAACACGAGGCACATACCGGAGACATCGACACTTTCACCAGGCTCTATCCTGCCAGAGTTTGGTCGTACGCAGTACAACTATGGAATTTATAAGCCCCAGGAACATCATCCCCTGTATCTCTCTGCTCACCTTGGGGGCTGTTGTCTTAACTTTGAATGCTACAGGCTGTGCATTTTTATTCGTGATAGTCAGGACTTGCTTGACGAGCTGCGTGAAAGGTCCTGAACGAAAAAAATATGAATTATTCGACGGGCGCTAGACATGGAAAGCGAGAGAAGAATACGCACTGTTGAAACCCAACGCGTTGTTGGGAATGAGATAGACAGACATAGTTAGGAGAGGTGCGCAACGAGGGCGACAGTGGATATGAGGGAGGTGAACGGTACGTATTCGTTTGGGCGGAGGTTGAAGTTGTAGTGTACCACCTTTATTCCATCCGCGGCGAGGATCACACAAGGTCAAATAAGTAACTCGTGGACTGTGCGTGCTCGCCACACACCACGACGTACTGTCACCAAACATGCATTTATCTGCCTCATAAATCATATTAAGGCGTCATCGCCCGCGGCGCTGATGGTTGGCTCGAGGTATACGAAAGGGTTTATATCTTCACTTTCAACAGCCTCAGAACTCACTGCATCACAGCCGTTAATCGCATTTGCAAGCCTGGCTTGGCTATTAGTTGCATTTCGCCGTGCGTTTGCATGCAGGCGCAGCAGGCGGTGACTCATCTCGCCTCTAGGGCACATCCCTATTTACGAACAAGTTGGCCCACATCGTCCTGAAGTGGTAAATATTTGTCCAACTTCTCTGTTAGTGGGAACCACGCTCAACGTTCAATCGACACAGTAACCATATCATAGGCTTGTCGGCAGACAACACGGCGAGGCTGTGCTTGCGGTTCAAATTTCATCCTTCAACATCGGCGTCAATTCACCACCGGCCAGCTGCCACTAGCCGCCACACCATACGACAGTGGTGAATCCACCAATAGCAGATGTTTGGATAATAGTAAACGCGGTGTCGAGGTAAATCCGGTTGCATTTCAATTGATGAAAAGCATACTTACCAGAGCCAGTCTAATGTGTCACTGTCGAATCCGATCAAGTGAAGTGAGGGGTGGGTTATGGGCACACGGCTAACTTTAAACACTGCATATTGAAAACAGATGAACGTTTACCAAAATGTTCCTCGGGGATATCCAAGCTTGTACATATTTCATGACTTCCCATGCAAAGTTGGGTTTGTGCATCATCATTTGGATGGCGCCAGTATGGCATGGACAAGCCAAATGTCGGCAACCTCCTTCACTTGATCAATGATCTCCTTGAGCGGGCCTGAGCTAACAGTATCCCTGTGTGCCTGTAATCGATGGGTAGGTGACTCAGAGGAATCAATGTCAGAATTACCTGCACACTCTCCCATCCTAACACGCCGTACATCACGTTGGGCTTATCAATGACAGGAGCCCAGCTCGAGCCATAGAAGTTTGGTGTTCCTTCGAGCTTGGCCTGAAACTGTGTAACGAGGGGCTCAAGCTTGTCCATACTGACACCCTCCTTGAGGGTAGAAGTGACGAGTTCTGTTACTGGAGCAGAAAAGATTCGACTAGTGTCGGAAAAGTTGACAAACACATGTTTCGGTTGGCCCGTATAGATTTTCTGAGCAGTTGCTTGTATGGCCTTGAAGGTTTCTGTCTGACGATATGCATCATGCGCAGCCAAGGACTCCCACTCTGCCAGTGATAGTTCAACGCAATTGGACTAGTGTCGCAAACTTGACCTACCGAAGACCCAGAATGCATTGGTCGGATCCTCAACCTCGAAACCAAGGTATGCCCTTTAATCGATCGATGATAAGCCAGCATGCTTCGAGGATGACTTTCCATATTCACTTGGAAAACCCATCAATTTTACCTGCTGAACATGTGGTCGTGAGCTCAGAAATCAATCGCGAGGGATCCTCGAGGTAAGACGAAGAGGTCTTAAAGTGCATGATCTTTGTGACGGGCTCCATGATGAGGGGTGATTGAGAGGAAGCTGGGTAGAGATCACTTGGTTTCAGTATCCATCAATATTCCAATGATAGATGGGCGGGCCGAACGCGGGGGTAGCATTAGTGTAGGGGCAATAGAGCAATTGACCTCGTGCACGTGGCAAATGGCAGAACGGCAGAACGGCAAGTGGTCATGGTAGAATGGCAGAAGTCGGCAAAAAGTAAATATCGTGAGCATTTTTGGCGGGTCAGGTGAATTTGACGCGGTCGTGACGCAGTATTGACGCGACAATTAAAATCTGGGCGATTACGTGGGTTGCCAACTATTGATTCCGCTTACACCCAGCACCATAGAAACCTGCTGTGGTGATGGCGGAAAAACACTGAAACGGATATTGGGACGAGAGTTACCAATAGTGTGGCTAGTGTACACCGCCTGCGCTCCCTGCAAATACAATCGGCGCAATCCAGCGGTCTTCCAAAGACGATAAAGACGGGAAGCATAGGTGAACGATTTTTTGCAAGTGGCCGACAAGAGCAACATCTCGGAGTGCGTGTTCAGGGGTATGCATAGCTTGCAGGAAGTTTACTACCAGGGTGATTCGAACGTGTGAACTGACAAATATTGAACTCCAGACTCTATATGGCCTAGGGCCTGGGCGCACAGCTAAATCGAATGTTTTCCTCGGGGATATCGATAAGATTGTACATTTGTATTTTATAACTTCAGAATCAAATACCGTCGACAAAGTTTCGTTCGTACTTCACGCTTTGTACTGTGTCAGTATAGCGTGAACAAGCCAAAGGTCAGCAATCTTCTTCACTTCATCAATAATCTCCTTGAGGGGACCTGAGCTTACAGCATCCCAGTGTGCCTGTAACCGATAAGCAGGTGCCCCAGAAGAACTAATATTAGAGTTACCTGCACACTCTCCCATCCCAACACGCCGTGAACTACGTTGGGCTTATCAAGGACAGGCGCCCAGCTCGAGCCGTAGAACTTAGGTGTTCCTTGAAGCTTAGCCTCAAGCTGTTCGACGAGGGGTTGCAGTGCGTCCATACTGGCACCCTCCTTGAGAGTGAAAGTGACAAATTCCGTCGCTGGAGCAGAAAAGATCTGGCTAGCGTTGGAGAACTCGGCAAATGTATGGGTAGGTCTGCTCGCAAAAACTTGTCGAGCAGCTGCTTGTGTGGCCTTGAAAGTGTCTGTCTGATGATATGTGTCATGCGCAGACTTGGAAGTCCACTCTGCCAGTAGTTCAACGCGATTGGACTAGTATGTCGCGAACTTGACTTACCGAAGACCCAGAATGCGTTGGTTGGATCCTCAGTCTCGAAGCCAAGGTATCCCCTTTAATTAATCAACGATCAGCTAGCACGCTTCGAGAATGACACGAGTATTCACTTAGAAAGCCCTTCAATTTTGTCTGCTGCACTTTTGGTTGCAAGCTCAGAGATCAACCTAGAGGGATCCTGCAGGTAGGATGAAGAGGTCTTGAAGTACATGATCTGTGTGACGGACGCCATGATGAGAGGAAGTTGAGAGGAGTCTGGGACCGCTGAGTTTGGTTTAAGTATCAATGATGGAAGCAGGCCAAGGCCGGCCCGCTTTGTTCAGTCTAGAACACTTTTTTTGGATTGAACCGGAGCCAACATTGATATGTTTTTAATTAAATCGCAATGGCAGTGATAGTTTACGTTTGCCATGACAAGCTGGCTGGCCTGAGCCACCCCCGAGATCGAGGGGAAGAACACAATTCATGAAGAACAAGAAGACACCTTGCGATCCGAGGATACTACAAATATTGACGTCATCATCGCAGCCTGCCAGTCGTCGAGGTGGTTATCTTGTGCGTTCAGTCGATGAACAGTCACGGGGACTAAGACCTGCTGCCAAGTGGCTGTGTCGAATCTTAATTGGATGCGGAAGTCCGATCGTGTTTGTGCAGTTCGCCCATTTCCGCATACAAGATTTACTCCATCCCTGACATGACAAACACAGACACATGCCCGGTTTTGATTGTCAGGACTGTTTCTCCGCTCTTGACATCCCAGATTCTTACTGTCCCGCCGTCCCTTGGAGGATTCGTTGCTCAGCGCTCAGCATTCGCTTACCATCCACACTTCAGCACCTATCTATGTGCCGCTCTCCAAGTCCCATAGTTGTAGTGAGCCGTCCCTCGAATATGTAATGGTCCGTCGTCCCCCAGGCAGGTGCACAATACCTTGCACCTGTGCAGTGTGGCCTTGCATCCATCGTCTGACGGGACGTGTCTTCTGGCGTCTGTTATTTTATACTGGTATTGGAAGACATGATCGGCGCCGGGAAGGTCTTGAGTATAGCAGATAATCTCATGATGCGACATAGGAATCCAGTCCTCGCCCTTCCAGCTAACTTTGGCACTGTGTATACAGGAGTTGCGTATTAGACAATGCACAAAGATCTTAGTGGGTGTCCAAAGTCCCTGGTAAGTGGTGGGTATGTTGCAGAAGAGCCCGGAATATCAGCACTGTATAGACAAACTCAATGCTCAAATCACCAGCGATCCGAGAGTGGGCCCATGGATTGGAGCTGTGGAAGTTGGGCACCGCTTTGTCCAGGCATATTTAAAGGCACGTCCCATCTGTTATCCTGTGTCTGCTTCACAGCTTAATTGCTATGTAGACGAAGCATTCAGGTCTGCGAATAGCACCACGTCTTCCTATGCACAAGGGACTGCCTTTGATGATGGTGAGAAATTTCAATGAGGAGCCGCATTTCCTCACCATCTCACACGTTTTGTCCAGCTTCTTTCGAACTCGATGTCATGAAATCTTCTATTCGCAAGCTGTGCAGCATGCTGTCACCGGATGTCTTATTCTGACACCTGCGGCGAGAGCTTGCCTTGCTCATATTCTTGAAATTTCGGATAACCCAGGACACATCCGCATCCTCTCACCGATGATAACATCCCACCACGGCTGAAAATTTGACACTGCCATTGAGAAGATTGCAAACTCAGTGTTGTTGTTTTTCAGGTACTCGTAAAAGCTGTCCACAGCTTCCCCAATGTAAGGACTGACGAATGAATCATAAAGAACTTGATCCTCGCCTAGAATACAATTAACGTGAGATGACACGGGATAAAAGCCTGCTGACTTCGAGGAAACTCCAAGTGCGTGGGGGAGCTAGTGTCGGGTACAGTTTGATCAAGCTTATCATGTTGTGTCTGTGTGAGTGGTACAGAAAGATTCTGTGACCCTGATTGTCCTGCCATGGGGCCGAGCTTATCGATTGTTGATGCGGAACTCATGTGGTTTTAGGAGAATGAACGATGAACGATGTTAAATGGCAATAGGGGCTCGTCGTTACATAACATCCTGCGGAACCAATTTGCGTGTGCGTGCTCCACTCGAACCCAAAAACACTCACAATACATTTTTGCCATTCTGCCGTTTTGCCAATTGCTTTTGTATCGTAGCGAGCAGTCCCCGATTCTACCGTCCCATATCAATGGGAACATAGTATCCCGTGTCATCGTGGACCAAATGGGGAAGGAGTAATATCTCACACAATACCTTCGCATTCGAGTCTCGCAGGTAGACCGTAGGCGTGCGAAGTTGGCGAGCGCATTGCATGACCGACAGCCTGAAAGTGCTTAGTGCGAGGCTGAGAAAGAACGAATACATGATTGAACATCAACCCGCGGAAGGCGTTCCAGACGACGGGTGAGCTCATCCAGGGAAGAGAAAAGCCAATGCTGGTGAAGGTCCGATGTGCCTGAGGGAGGAGAAATCGGAGTGAGAGATGAGGCTACTATCACTGCAGAGCGGCGGAGTGCAGCCAAGGTGAACTGCTGCTGCGATCAACGTCGTGCGAGTTTGAAGGGAAGTACTGGGTAGGTGCCAATCGAGAAACGTCAGGTAGGCACATCATCAGACGAACTCACAAGCTCCGTCCGCAGGATTCAAAATTTTGCAAAATTGCAAGGATACTGTTTGCTTTTAGTCATGCCTCAGAACACTTACATCCAGTGCGTTAGGCAGCATCACACAGGACGGGAGCTGTCAAACAGTTCGAATTGCTTTTGTAGTACATACATAGGTCATGCAGAGCGCCACGGTGGATCACATGCGACGGCGGACAACATGGGTACTTCATCAGGGTAATACAACGGGTCATAAATCAATGGATATGTGGATATCTCGTGTTCAACATCATGAGGTGGGCAAGCATGCAAGCTAAGTGACAGGCCTGAGACAGCGATTCAGCGAGAATAAAGATTACAAGCACAACGAAATACGTACGCGGAGCAAGGAGAAGACGGCCACAGTGAACGAGAGAAGAGATACCAAAAATATACAATTCCAATGCGAGAGATACAAACAGAAAAAGGAGCAGACGACTCGGAACAGAAAGTTACAAGGCAAGTGGCCATAAGCACGGACCTCGGAGACACAATCGGAAATGGAAATTGTTTCACGCGCATGCAAAAATCCAGAGTGCCTGATCTGACAGAACCCTCTAGAGTCGGGGAACCGCAATGACTTGGCAATGACAGTCACTGATCGATTACGTTTGTCATGACAGGTCCTGAGCTAGCGCTGAGCCACCCTCGATATCGAGGGGGAGAACACAATTCATGAAGAACAAGACACCTTGCAATCCGAGGATACCTACTAATTATAATGTTGACGTCATCATCGCAATTAAGTAGCTGTGCAGCGGCCAGCGCCCTGCTCCACCTTATCAGACGCCATGACGAGCAAAGGAATGAAAACCCATCAAGCCGCTGCTGCGATCCCCCAGTTCACCTCAAAGGATTACTTTTCTTTCTTCCTCGCAGGTAATGTCTGACAATCACCATATCTACTAATATGCGACTCTGAAAACATCCATCTCAGGAGCACTATGCTGCACGTAAGTCTCCCCGACGATTCATACAGACCGCGCGTTTACACAGATGAAGGATCACCCACGGTGCAATGACGCGTGAGGCGCAACTTTCTTATCTTTTGACCCGCCGTTCACTCGTGCAGCTGTCGACGTCGTGAAAACACGAATTCAAATTGATCCTGCGTACAAGAAGCTGAACATGTTGACCGGAACGCGTTATGTTATCGCGACAGAAGGTCCCAGAGCTCTCCTCACAGGTTTCGGCCCAACTGCAGTTGGTTATCTTATACAAGGAGGCGCAAAATTCGCTGGTTACGAATATTGGAAGAAAAAGGCAGTCGAGTCTGTAGGTGGCCCGGAGGCGGCAGTCAAGTATCGAACGGCAATCTACCTTGGATCAGCCAGTATTGCTGAGTATGTCGTGATGTACTGATGATCTTCAAATTTCCCTACATTTTATCATAGGTTTTTCGCAGATATCCTTCTGACACCTTTAGAAGCCACCCGGATCCGTCTCGTGTCAGACAGAACTTACGCAACTGGACTTGTCACGGGTTTCACTCGTATAGCGCGTGAGGGTGGCATACGCGAGCTTTACGCAGGCTTTTTACCGATTCTCTGCAAGTGAGCCCATAATGACTGACGACTTTCGCATAAATAATGTTCTGTCCAGACAGATACCTTACGCTATCGGGCAATTTACGGTGAACGAACTCTGTCACGAGATTGTGTTTCGTTCAATTTCCGAAGAGACTCGTCGCACACTATCCAGTACCAGCAAATTTGCAATACAGCTCGGTAGCGGCGTCATCGCAGGTTTTGCAGCAGCCATTCTGAGTCAGGTGAGTATCTGTGTCGACTCGGAAGTCTCTTCACCCAGATTGTCTGACCTCTGCATGCAGCCAGCGGATACCTTGCTTAGTCAGATTAACAAGGGACATGGACCAAAGGGCTCCATGCCGCATCGACTTGCAGTACTTGCTCGAGAGGCTGGTTTCCGCGGCCTTTTTGCTGGTCTCGGACCTAGAATGATCATGACCGCGGGCCTTGTGTCAGGGCAGTTCTTACTGTATGGTGCAATAAAAGAAGGTAAGCATCAAGGAAGGTTTACATTTCACTCTTTAACCGTTCGCAATAGCTTTGGGCGCACCCCCTGGTGTAGAGATACACAAAGAAACTGGTGCTGTTGTTTGATAGACACCAAGATTCACTAGAAGGCATCGCTTGTATTTTCTAGAGTCACAGAAATCCTTACAGTAGTACCATACATGGGTAGAACACCACCATTTATGCGGATCTCCAGGCCAGAGCAGTGGTAGTAACCATAGCCATAAGTTTGTCGGGAGACAATACGGTGAGGCTGTACTTGCAGTCTTCATGAGCTAGCGTCAGCGCCAGTTCACCACTGACCGCCACTGCATATGATAGTGGTGGGTATTGGGAGACCGGCATACTGCTAGCTTGTAAAACAGTGCGTGTCCAAAACGTTCCTCAGAAATACCTTCCTACACAACGACAGAGTTTTGTTCGTACAGGACGTTCGAGAATCAAGTTCACACATTGTATTCCGTCATCATGGCGTAGACAAACCAAAGGTCGGCGATCTTCTCCACTTCATCAATGATCTCGTTGAAGGGACCTGAGCTTACAGCATCTCAGTGTGCCTGTGACCGATAAGCAGGTGATTCGGAGAAACTAATGTTGAAATTACTTGTACGCTTTCCCATCCTAACACGTCGTGAACTACATTGAGCTTAGCAATGACAGGTGGCCAGCTCGAACCATAGACCCTTGAAGCTTTCTCAACTTCCATGGGAAGAATTTTCACCCGAAGGTCCGAAACACGATGGTGATTGGGCATGTCTTGAGCAGGGGTTCAATGAGGGAGAGGCGTTACGCGAGAAGAGCGGCGGGGAGTGGGTTATGGGAGATACGTTCTCCTATGCGGACATCATCGTGGCAAGTCGACTGTTCTGGTACAAGCGCATCTTGAAGGAGGATGAGTGGGCGAGGATCAGCTCTTGGAATGGAGGGAGATGGGCAAAGGTGCTGGATAAGGTTCAGCAGGAATGTCCCCTGGCGTGATATGAAATCCCGGTAACTTGAGATCTCAAAGTCATGAATACCAGAATCACATACTAAATGTTGTAGCTGCCAACAATATTATGCGATTCATCATTCTGTACGACATACTAAGCGATCTTCCCGAGAAGAGATGGGCGCCTGACAACTTGAACCCATCAAAGACGTCATGCCACATCGGTAGCTGATTGTTTTTGGTCCTATGTCCTGTTTGCGTAAGTCTCGATGATGTCTATGAGTGGTGAAAACGAACCGTGACACCTCCCGTCAGCGCAGACACTGCAGAGGTGGGACAATCCTGCCAGTAGCTTGACACCTGATAGGAACATCGGCAACATCAAGAAATCTGTCAAGTTCTTAAATAGCGACGACTTAGCGAGGGAAACGGTAATTTTTGGGAAAATATATACCTCCAATGTGCTCGAGAATTCCTTCAGTAGCCAAAGCGTTGCAAGTTGGGCCATTTTGATACAAGCATATCTTGAAGAAGGATGGGTGGGCAGGAATGCGGCCTCCCGTGATCCGTCTGCTGCAGTTATGACTATCTGGACAAGATATTCTTCATGTGTGAAAATGACAGCTTTCACGGGTCAGCGAACCGGTGACCTGCCAGCGAGACACTCAAAATTTCTGGGATTATAAATACCAGAATCACATCGTAAGTACAGCTACTTGCAAAATGCAACCCATCATCCTGTATGACATACCATCCAAGCTCCCCAAGAAAAAATGGGCACCCAACCCATCAAAGACAAGGTGCTGTGGGCGCATTGCAACGCCTGATGACCGACTCACACTACACGTCAGATTCTGTTTCGGCCACAAAGGCCTTCCGTATGAGGTTATCTGGGTGGAGTTTTGTGACATTGTTGCAACCATGAAAGGTATCGACGCATCTCCAACAGCTGGGAAAAGATACACCGTGCCAACCATTAAAGACCCCAACACTGGCGTAGTGGTCTCCGACTCCCATGCTATTGCCAAATACCTCGACGAGACCTACCCTGACAAGCCACTTATACCCCGCGGGGCACACGTACTCTTAGAGACATTCGAGACCCTGTATATCAACACAGTCATGATGCCGTCCTTCAAGCTCCTCATGACCAGAACTCTCGAGATACAGAATGATATTAGTCGGCAAGTATTCATCCAATCGCGGTTAAAAATGTTTAGAGAAACACATTGGGAAGATATGGCTCCTGAGGGGAAGGCGCAGCAAATGTGGGCTGCGTTAAAGAAGAACCTTGGTGTGGTGGACGGGTGGTATCAAAAGAGCGGGGGTAGGTGGATTATGGGAGACACGTTCTCGTTCGCAGATATCGTCGTGGTGTCTTGGATGGTTTGGTGGAACGCTATCTTGAACAAACAAGAACGCCAAGAGATCCACACATTGCACGGGGGAAGATGGGCACGTCTTTTGGCAGATGTGAATGCCGAGTGCAACACAGAGTTAGGCTCCTTTGAAGAACATAGTCGTTCCCTCTTATGAGTTTCGCTAGTATGTAGCCAAAGAAACAGTTGTGACCGATTTGGCCTCGCACAAATAAGGACAAGTTGATTGTCACGCACGTGACCGCGTTGCCCCGCACCGCGACTCCAACTTGAACGCGTCCGTGCTTGCCATGAATATATCCCAACGATGAGCTGTAATTATATCTTCGGTATGAACTGAGGCAGGAATTAATGGATATTACTTATTTTAATCTAGGCACCGAGGAAGATTCTCTTGTATCCCAGGCCCCAGATACCCTTCAAAATCTCGCGGCAGAAAATGAAGCTGAGAAGGCGGCAAACTGTGCTAGGTTCGTTAGGCATATGTTTGAATCTTGTCGTACATTCTTACATATTGTGCAGAATCCTGACGGAAAGTAGGTTCCTAGTCAATCTCATTATCCGGTGCCACTGAAACGACCAATGATCAGCTTTCGGCCATACGGAGTACAAGGGGAAGCAAAAAGAAATTGTCGAGGCTGCTAATTCTGGTGAGTCATCATGGCACAATTGTGTCAAACAAATCAGTTATTCGTTATACAGGATTGGATGTCTTTGTATTAGCGCCGACGGGAATGGGCAAGGTATTTGCAAATGAACTCGAATAACAACAGGTCCATTACATCTTTCGGTCTACAGAGCCTGTGCTTTCAGATTCCAGCAGTCGCAGATATGGTATGCTTTTAAAACCATTATTTGACAGGAGCTGATTTCATCATAGTTCGGCATTTCCATCGTAGTTTCACCACTATTGGGTCTGTCAAACCTACCAATTGAAGTTGGTTTAATAAACTGACATATTACTCCAGCCCTGATGAAAAACCGTACGTTGCGTGCCTGTTCGTTTTTTTATTTGAGGCTGGACTGGATTGTGCAGAAGTATCAAGTTTGCGCCGCAAAGGACTCCCTGCCGTCTCTTGGACATCGGACACACCGAAGGGTGAACGAGATCAGGTATTGCTGCTGCTTTTGTATCATTTGATTTTTCTGAGTTATGTCCTGTAGATTATTGAAGACCTCGAATCAGGGAGCCCGCAAACTCGTCTTCTATATAGTGAGCTTGCTTAACACGAGAATGCATATGCAGCGAGCTGATCACAATTTCGATCAGCCACACCTGAAAAGCTGTGCACGCGTGAAATGATGCGTCTTCTTGAAATTGTTCATGCGAAGGGTGAACTTAACAGACTGGTTGTGGACGAGGTAAGCGCTATCTATGGACAACGTGAAAACTGCTCATTCATTCTTTGTTTCTTTCGCAGGCTCACTGCATCTCTGTAGGTATCGTGACCCTTCTTGCTTTCAGAACTTATTAACAACAATGGTCTCCACAGGAGTGGGGCCACGACTTCCGTGAGGAATATCGCAAGTTGGGCTCTTTTCGGGAACGATTTCATGGAGTGCCCATCATGGCCCTGACAGCAACAGCAACCCCGAGGTATGTCCGTCAGACTGCAGGCATTATGCTCTAATTTTTTTATTCTATATTTACATTGTTATGGTTCCAGTGTTCAAACAGACATTATACGCAGCCTCAATATGTCCGAAGAAAGATTGTTTACCGCTTCGCACCCCTTTAACCGCGCTAACTTATTCTATGACATCAAATGCACTGCGGCGCTCGACTCCCTGTCCCGTATGTCAGCCGTATACGATTTTGTAATGACCCTACACCGTCGTCGGGCCCGACCAAGCTCCGGGATCATCTACTGTCGTGCCCGTCTGGCGTGTGATGAACTATCGGCCTTTCTAAGGGGAAAGGGCATCAGTGCCAGGCCATATCATCGCGGGATTAGGTGCGTCTGAAGCGAGTTCTAAAGCGAGGTCCCCGATGTGATTATGACTGTAAAGCTCTCATATGTTGGATAAGACGTTGAACGAATGGGAAGCAGGTGGAAATGGTGATGGTGGTGTCGATGTGGTGTGTCTTCTCCGTGTTCATCAATTGTCTCTTCTAACATATCACTTAGGTCTGTGCAACCATCGCTTTTGGAATGGGGATCGATAAAAGCGATGTTCGGTCAGCTCTCTCTTCTCCAGAGTCGGTGTGATATTGACGCTGATAATAAGTTATATTATTCACTATGACCTTCCGAAGAGCTTCGAAGGTGCGTGTTCTTCATGAACTACTGTGAGGGGCACCATTGACCGGTAGCCCATATTATACTCAGGGTATTATCAAGAGACAGGTATAGTGATGCCATCTTAGTTCGCCCATCTTATTTTCTAACTAGTTTTTTCCAAATAGGACGAGCGGGTCGCGACGGCTACGTGAGTTTGTCTTTCGTGCCACTTTCTCGTGCTGATTAGTTCCCTTTAGCCGTCTAAATGTGTGCTCTATTACTGTAAGGTCGTCGTTATCGTCACTAATGGACACAACTGATGTTTGGATGCAATTTACAGCTCGTGAAGACGCCTTTCGCCTCCGCAAGTTGGTATCTGATAGCCATGCCAAGAGACAACAAGCTGCAAGCACCACGTACGGTCCTCAACCCAGTCAAAGATCCATCGATAGTTTCAGTGCAGTAAGTGACTTTTCCTTGCTGGCGTCATAAGACTCATGAGTTCTAGTTGATTGACTACACAGAAAATGTAACTATGTGTCGACACGTGGTTGGTCTCATCCTGTTTAGTAGATTGATTTGATCTAATCCCAATCATATCAAGTCCATCTGCAAGTATTTTGGTGAAAAAATTAATACGAGTGACAAGGAGGTCGTCAAGAGCTACTGTAATAATATGTGTGATGTGTGTCTTCTCCATTCCCTCTCTCGGCTTAAACTGTGATAGAGCGCACCTCAGGTGTGCAAATACCCTGATAAGGTCCTGCGCCGAAAACAGAATCTCTCAGAGGACCGCGTTGCTGTACTGTCCAACTCACGTTCCTTCAATGCGGATGTATTCGAAGATGACGTTGCGAGTTCATGTCCGGTGCCTCAAAAGGCTCCTCCTGGTCAGCCTAATCCTGGACAAGCGGGAATTGGCGGGTCGAAAAGGCCCAACGCCTGTCCTGCAGGTCCGTCCACGAAGAAGGCAAAGCTAGAGGTACTGCCACCTGCATTAAGTGAGCATTACACATTCCAATATTGAGTAGTCCATCTGACACTGTGATAGTCACGAAGCCTTATAGTTCTGTTGGTACCTTAAGGAAGCCATTCAAAACACCATTTAAGGTGCCGTTCAAACAACCTCCACAAGAAGCGCGTGTTATCGAGTCTTTGGATGCTCAGCAGACCACCCAGAAACGTGAAGAACAAAACTACGACAATAACGAAATTGAAGTTGTCAAGGTTTGCTTCAATTCTACTTGGCAAGCTCCGCGAGACGAGTTGCTGCAAGATAACATCCTGGAAGAGGAACCTATGGACTTTAGTCAAGGTGGTGGTGATGTATCCCTCGACGATGGTACGTCCAAACACGAGCAGTAACCACGATGAATTTCTAAATATCACAATCTTTCAGAACTTCAGATACACCTACCCGAGATTGACATTGAACTGGAAATGATGTTCTCCAAGAAAATACCGGTAAGTTGAAATCCTGCATGGCGTACGAAAATAATGAACGATATCGCTTAGGAATCAGCAAGGAGAGAAGTCTTCCGCACTATTAGACAAGCTTTATACAAAGCTCTCCGCTGGGATGATGGCGAGGAAGGGTTGTGGGCCAATTTGAGCAATGCTCCATCCAATGCTGAAGCAAGGTACTCCTCACGTATTCACGAAGTGCTCATCTTGACGATTATCACCGGCCTAGACATCTACTCCTGGCAGAAGCCGCTAAAGAGATAGAGTACTCTGTGCACACGATGTCTGCCACTGAGTCTGGTTACAACCAGAAAGCAAAGGCAAAACTACGTGTGGTCAAGCTCATGGAGCACAGGGAAAGTCTTTGGCTGATCGATGCAGCTCATTATGATGAGGATGAAGAGGAGGCGATCGAGATGATAGGATTATTGAGGAACATCTGCAGTCGCTGGAGAAACACCGGTAAAAGAAAAGGCCCATGATCTTTGTCTCTCGCCTGTATGTATGTGCGATATATAATTTATTGGACAGCCTAAGTGTGATGAATCACTATAGCCAGATGGACCACCCGGGATATTCAAAATGCTGAGACGTGCCTGACACAGTATGTCCTGCAGCCATGCCACGTACAACAGATAATCCGCGCTGAGATGTTCGGCAATGTATGTAGCTGTCTGCTACATCTAGTTTCCTCGTTTGTGAATGCAAGACCATTCTCCGTTCGAGTGGAACTTTCGTCTTTATACTGTGCATAGCAATGTAATGCGGTCGCGAGATAGTCGTTTGCAAGATGTCGCAATTTTGCGATGATTCCGTCACGAACGCTTTTTGGGTCACTTCAAGGCGATACTCGAGAAGAATGCTGCGGTTAGACAGAATTGCCACTTTGACGCGAGAAAAATACCTCAACGTGGAGACACGTTGTACTTGAAAGAATTAGGCGTCCGGCAAGAAAAACGAGTGCAGTGTACGTACCTGAATATACAGCTTGGGCAAAAGAAAAAAGGATCTGGCGCACGGCAGTAACCTAAAAAAAAAAGCAAGACATGGTACAAGTTACAACACAACCATATATAGAAGTCTAGCTACTCGGACTCGGCTGTGGCGAATTAGCGGTTTTATATCAACACGTGAGTAGAGTCCAACTTTGACCCGTCTCCTGTGATTTCATCAAGTTCACGTTGATAGACTCACGAGTGTTTCGAAGGGTGCTCACAGAGACAGACAGAAGCGAGAAAGAATTGATATCAATTGCTCTCACGCCGATGGTACTGGTATATGTGAAGTAAATGTAACTAAATACTACTTCACTACTGTTACAACCAAGCACGCAATACCCACCGGAGTGTCGTCCACCCCGTTATTGGGCTGTAATTTATGGTACATCCATACAAGCGCTAAAGATTCCAACAGGAAAAAGGCGAAAAAATAAGGGTAGAAACTCCCAATGGTGTCTGGATCATTGTGATTTGAGGCCTTTCGCATACCTCCACGCGAATTCCGTCAATGTTGCCCCAATGCAGATGGCGTACATGACTAGCCAGAGCGCAGTGATGACGCGGCAGACAGTATTTTGCAAGTTAAAGCCTGATATCAACATCGCTGCGCACGAAATAACACATGAGGACCCAGAGAGAGCATTGAATTACCGGAGCTCACCGAATATGAAACAATTCAGGGAGAGGCCAACAAATAATATGGGCATGATGATCGATAACAGGTAGGGAAAGAGGAAGCAGCCGCCTATCCTAAGTTGCTGATAAGATGTCAGCCGGTGTCATGGGTAAAGCAGGAATACCCTTACTTCTCGAGTCCACTGCCGATCAGTGTGTATCCAGCGAATCATGCTCAAACCAGATGTCATCACTGCAATCATGGCCAGCATGAGTGACATAAAGAGCAGGAAATAGGTTGCAGGTGAGGAATAGTTAAAGTAAGACACAAGAGAACCTGTGGACACGAAAACAGCATTTGTCGCGAGAAGCAGGCTAGCCTTGAACGATGTCAGCGGCAGTTTGAACTCGGGGAATGGAATAGCTTACTACGGAGATAGTGTTGGACAGGATGGAGCACAGTTTTTTCCTCACGTCCTCAAATCCTTCTTTGGATTGCAGTGACTCCCAGTGATCTTCAAGATCAGGGCGTCCGAGTGCCAAAAAACAAAGTACTCTCGTTAAAGAAGACGTGTCACGAAGAGATGCGGGGATTGTTTGCTCTTCGGTGAGTGATCCTTCATCAGGGGTTCCGTGGAACGTGGAAACCTAACATCCTAATTCAGTTCTATGACAGCAAATCTTTGTTTTCAAAGCACACCTCCGGAAAATACTGTAGGGCCATGGCGAGCACTATGTCAAAGGGGTGAGGTGAGGTGAATTGATGCTACGTCTCGACATGTTGGGGACTTTTTGTAGTTCCCAAATCTTCTGCGTATGAACTATGATTCGGACACTATGGCTGTGTTGGTGCAAAATCCCTCAGTGACAGCGGCGAATTTTTGGCCCCCGCGGTGACGAAAAAGGGAATACAATCCCGGACACAATCAACCATAATTGAAAAAGTATATCTGCGTACCACTCGGCGCGGACCTTGCGCGCGAGGCACTCGTGCACTGTCTTGCAAAAGGACGAGATTGACATTACGAAGTGCAAGCTAAGCGTGTGCTCCAGCTCGAAGGACTTTTCACTGTGCTTGAGCTTGAAAGCTTGACCGGTGTTATGCCCTTCAAACTGCACCCGCTACTTTCAAATATGGGATACGCTAGTAGTGTGGTGTTTAAAATTTAACCGCAAATCCATGTAACCTCTTACTAGTATTAGTAAACCGATTTGAACGATGAACGCAACGATGTTACATAAATTGGCTGACTACGCTACTAGTATACTGATGCTAACTCAGGTACTACATATATTCCTCGTCAGTTCATCGAAGTATACAATAAACGAAATCACGAATGTGACTGCAGGACACCCAGTGTACATCCGCTTCGAGGATGACTTGAGTATTCACTTAGAAAGCCCTTCAATTTTATCTGCCGAACTTTTGGTCGCAAACTCAGACATGGGATCCTACAGGTAAGACGAAGAGGTCTTGAATTGCATGATCTGTATGACGGCCGCTATAATGAGAGGCGATTGCGGCTATTTTCATATTGATTTCATTTTTTCGTCTTACCGCTTCTATTACCTGTGGAGCTAGACCCTTTACGGTACTGTTCTGGCGGAACAAGGGCGGAATACGTCCCCAGGATGGCACCAGGAGTCAGGAGTTCGCTGCTTCCCTCTGCAGGTGGGCCATGGAAGAAGTAACTTTTTCTCACGGTCGCGCCACGCCTCTAGGAGTTGGACAACGAGGAGGAGAAATCATAAATGGCGACGAACGAAGCAGCAACAACAACAGCGGCTCCTCCAAACCCCGCGAACATAATTACCGCCCTGACTAGTGCCTTTAAAAGTCAAAATGGCGAGGCAGCATCGAGCACGCGCATAGCCCAGCTCCTCGAGCAGAATATGGGCCAGCTTGGCGAGCTTATGCGGCAGGGCAAGCTCACTGCCGTACAGATCCAGCAGGTCCGTCGGCTTTTAAACCAAGTGAGATTTATTTTGTCTCACCTGGGCGTCTTATCTGTAGCTGAAAGATTACGCTGAAAAACACAAGTCCGCGACCAGTGCTGCTTCGGGAAATGTGGCTGGCACCTCAACCGCGAATGGCGGTACGAAGGTAATGATGACTCAATGGGTAGGAACCTCCTTTATCTCATCCCCTTTGTGGTAGACTGGGGCTACTGCAACAACTGCTACCGCTTTTAAAAGCGGGTCACCAGCACCTCTTCTTACATCCACACCTGGTGACGGGTATCCCATTAGCCAAACTCTCAACACCACCAATCCAGGACCCGTCCAGTGGGCAGCTGCACAGCAAGGAAGACCAACTCTCACAGGTGGAATGACTAGCGGCAGAGTGTCTGGTGAGTTCCTGATGATCATTTGCGGGGAAAGTAGCGATCCCCTCCGAGTAATAATTTTGATCTATATCGCCAGGTACCCCTGCTCAGATCGCACGATCCACGGACGATGCTGGTATGCTCAGCATAGAAGACAACCATCCACGAAGAAAGAATACCCCGGGAGATCAGAGCATGAGACGGTCGATACAAGACCTCGTCTCAAGTGTTGATCCCAATGTTCGGATCGAACCTGACGTGGAGGATGTAAGTCACTGTACTCAAATCCTTCGACATGTCCTTCATTGTACCATCTACAGCTACTTCTTCAAATCGCCGACGAGTTCATCGACTCGGTCACAAACTTCGGTTGTCGACTAGCAAAACATCGCGGCGGCGACACGCTCGAAGTCAAAGACCTCCAGCTTCACCTTGGTAAGTCTGATCAGTTCATTCTTCCTCGTTCTACTCACCACTCTGTCTCAGAACGCAACCACAATATCCGTATTCCCGGATTTGCATCCGATGACACGCGAATAGCCTTATCTCAGGCTGCTGTGGGACCTTCCGTGCCTGCAGCGGCAACAAAGAAAACAGCCCAGGGCACATCCATGACTTTACGCAGTCACCGCTTGGCGCAGGTGCAACAAGCGAAGAGGGAAAACAAGCTCGCATAGTGAATCGCGCTGGACATTCTTGCTTTCTTTGCTATCCCTTTTTCTTTGCTTGTTCGACTTGTAATGTATAAGTGCCCATACCATAGTATCTCAAGATCTCACACTGACAGGGTGCTCCTCAGGACTTTAAAATGCTACTAATATACTAGTTCTTATTCAAGGAGGGTTGAGTCTGAAGATGATGAAGTACTCCGAGACCGTTAATGATACTTGGCGAGGTGCGTGTTCACCCAGTATAGTAAGGTTTAGTTTTTGGGCTACCCAAGTGAGCGAGGTACGAGTGTAAGAATTGTGACTTTGTGATGCAGCACTTGGCCTCTCTTGTTTCCGCACCAGTGCTCACGCTACGCTCCAGCAGGCTCAAACCTCCTTTTCCCCAGCTACCACTCACTTGTCCTCGTTGTCTCTCGTATCCTCGTAGCCTACATTACTACTTGTCCCTAAAGGCAGTCAGTTTCAGCTTTATACTAGTACTATGCATCCCTCTTCCGGGTCCAGGGGCCCGGGCGGCTGGTATTCAGACCTGCTGAATTCGAGGCTGCTGCGGCGAGGCTTACCCACCGGTGCTCGCAGCTCACGTCGGCTTTCTCTTGGACAGCTTGGGGGCCAAGTCGTCCCTTCGTGCTGTTCTCTCTACCACTACCAAGACCCCTGCACGACAGCAAACACGATTTTTTCCCCGAGAATTGAGTGAGAACGCTTTGTTTGTATTTTCTGGAGTCACAACAATCTTTACAATGGTATCATACACATGGATAGAACGTAATCATTCATGAGGAGCCCGACCAAGCGCCTTTACAAGTCTTGATTTGATGTCTTGTTCATGAAAATCGTTCGTAAGATCCATAGCCAGAAATTTGTAGGTGGTGATTCCGGCGGCCTTGATATTTTCTTGTTCCTCTGCGGTCATCTTCTCTTCCAAAAGCTGCCCTAGTTCATGGTCGCCCAACAATTTGCTTGACATATCAGTGAATAATTTCTCCGTAGGTGTGTAAGAGGAAGGGAAACTACCTGACGTACTGCGCACGCTGCGCAATACGGGACGGCAAACCAAACATCGTAGCACATTGAGCTGCATGAGAATTGAGGGAAAGACCCGGGGACACACTGGTTCGTTAATTAGGTACGCCGATGATCGCATAAACCCAGAAGGTACCGATAAAGATAGGTTATTTTCTCTCCAGGGGCAGCGACGAATGTAGGTTCCAAACGTTCGTGATCCGTTAAGTCTAGGTCTTCAGATATCGACACGTCACCGGGATTGAGGTTGTTGCCTTTGCTTGAAGTGAAGAGCACTTGCATGTGAAAAAACATGATCGGAAACTTGTGGGGATCGAGCATGTCCTTCTGAAAGACTTCATGGAAATGTGTGGCAGCTAAAACCTTAGGACACTGAGATCCTCTGTTGAGAAGATGTTTGATGACACCGCAAAACAACCCAGCCCCATCTATGGACAAGTAAGAATCGACAATTATGTTTGTACCGTGAAGCGAACGAGCCTGTAGGGATCGTCCCCTTTCCGAATTCGTCAAGGAGAATGAGAGAGTTTGCGGTACAATTCCGGAGGGCTAGGGAAACCTGATTGAGATCAATCATAAAAGCAGATTGAGCCTTGCAGCCAGTTTAGTATGGGAGGAAACCGGGGGCACTGCAATAATACTTTGGATACTGATTCGCGGGTCTGTATGCGAGTAAAGACTGTAGAGAAAGGTTAGTTGACATAAAGCGAAAAAGTCCAGAACGTCACTTTTGTCGACGATTCCTAGGGTGGCAGATGCCGCTGGAACGAAACTTCACAAGGTCATGAAGTACGGAAGCAATCACGAGTCCCTTACCAGCCGATCTAAGTTGTTATGAGTGAGTTATGAGTGGTCCGATAACTCAAAAGCGGTTGCCAACCTGGGCCATATATTGAATCAGAGCAACCTGGACTCATTTCAATACATCCTGGCATGTGACTGGTCAGATCTTTACCTGTTTTAGGTAGACGCTCTGCATTGTGCAAGAGGGAATTGAGCTGATATTGTAACGTGTAACTTGAACCTACTTTTCCGCATGCATTCGCGCCAGTGCACAAAATAATGCTGCTACACATAGGCAGATTGTCAACTTCTGTCTGTGGTTCGGCGCTGTCACTGAAGCCGATACCAGCTACAAGCTGAGCATCATTGGGAACAAAAATGTCGACTACCTGCTCTTGTAAGGGATGTCTTACGAGAGAAGGTTAATAATGTAGCAAGTAGCACTCCACGATGCTCACCGTCCTTGATCGATGTCGATAACAGGATCCTCTGACATCTGAGGCCGACAGTAATTGTACGCCCGAGAAGCCTCTGCAAAGGCTAGCAGGCAGTCCAGTTCGGCACAAACGTCACATGCTTGTCTCATCCCTTCGCTGAATACAAGGATCCGTTCCAAGAGCTCTTGGACGATCTCTATTTCACGGTCTGTTGCACGTGAGTTTTTTTACTGATGAGAAGCTATCAAAACTCGCACCGACTATTAATGGGTGGAGATCGCCGATGTGCATATCCATGTCTTAGACCTGAATCACACGCGTTCTCAGAATAAGGATCAAGGAAAGCTTACCATCCATCTCTTCCGATTTGAAATACACATGGGCGCTGAAAAAGACGCTGTTCAGTTACAAAGTTAATCATTAACAAGACTTATCGCTTGCTCTGAGGAGAACTGAACGATTAGGTCAGTCCGCCACATCAGATATAGCAAGGACAACGCCGGGACTCGCCTGGAAGCTCCATCCATCTAGAACCTTGATGCCCTCCTCAGTCGTCCATTCCTCCTGCATCGGAACGCAGATCAAAAAACCTGCGGATTGAAATCGTTGAATATACACCTATACTAGGTTCGAGAATGCATCACCTAGCTGTGGGAAATATACCACGTTCAAGGACGCCGTATAATCTACAGGAATCTTTTGGCATATTTGCTCAGCGACTTTACACTATAACATGATGAGCAAATGACAGAGCATCTTTAAGACAGGAATAACCCCACCAAGACAGCGTCCAATCCGGCGTAAACGTGTTTCCTCTGATCTAGTTCCTTGTCGATGTACGGCCTAACACATATGCGATTGTTATTGGTAGATTCCTCCCAGTCAATCTAACCAGTGAAGGGGTAACTTGATAAATATAAACAATGATGCAAGCACTTACTGTCTCGTTGACAGCATTTCCGGTGTCCTTGAAGCTCGCAATGTCCAACGTTGCAACCAGCTAACAGTTCATTCAATCCAGCTTCTCCTGGCGAGCCGCTCACCAATACCATACCTTTCGTACTACCTCTACTCGATCACCTCCGTGAAGTTCCGCCAGGGCGTCGCGTAGCATTGCAGAGTGATATGTAAACTTCGCTTGACGTCAGGTCGAATTTGAAACTAGGACCGCGTGAATCATACCTTCACCAGGCCTTGCCAGTCACTGACGCCAGCTTTCCCAGATCGCAGGAGTCCGAGGATCCTCGGAATATTCTTGATACCTTTCAAGTGAGTTTGCAAAGCACTCGCAGGTGCTAAGTTCTCCGGATGTAGAAAGCAGTCAATAGCGTCATGACGGGCAGCGATTACAGGAATGGATAGAGAGGGGCGCACGAGCCAGGTGCGGAGTAAGGAACGACCCAAGGGTGTCCGAGTATTGTCAAGGATACCTGTAGCATATTGATGAACGTGACGACATCGAAAATCGTGACAACATACCAAAAAGCGACAAACCTTCTTTTGTCTTATCAGAGTGGATGGATGCGTGGCTCTCGTTTTCGAATATCTGGAGGGAACTGTGCTTTACCGGTTAATGTACTCTTGAGGCAACACCCTGATGCCCCGCTTACAAAAGTGCGTCAGCATTGATATGCATGACCTGATCTCTTAGAAAGGAGTCAACACAATCCTATGTAAAACGTTTGCAATGCCGACTCACATCGTCAACACTTCGATGCCGGAGATATGGAGCCCCTCGACGCCTGCATCATCATCCAGTTCACCTGCTGCTCGCTCCCTCGCAAGGTAGTCGAGCAGAGCGCCAAGGCATGAGATCTACGGTTTCAGATATGAGACAAAATACTGCATCCGCGTATCTAGACGCACACAAAGAGGAGAAGATTCCACGGATGCATAGTTGGCCAACCTAATCGCCGCGTTCCATCTTTTCATGGTTGGGTCGCCTGCCGGCTGTTTGCGTTTCTGCATGAATTCATATGCGTTTCTTGGCTCAGCGCCTGAACTGCTGTCGGATGACAAACATTGACCAGTATCTTCGGTTGTCAACTCGGAGAGAAAAGGGAGCGACAACAAGCGGTCTCTCCCTCTGTGTGGAGTGAACTCTTTATGTGGCCTGATTTGAAAGACACCTCCAGAAGCCTCAGCTGAGTCGTTGAGTTGAGTACCTGCGCATATATGCAGTGGCAATAGAGAGCATACCAAATTTCTGAAGGACCGATATAAACGGGTCGTCGGCTTTGGAGCTGGTCAACACTATGTCAGCGTTGCATTGTTCTAGAACTAATACGGGTTCAGATGGGCGAAATGATGAAAAGGATTCCACTCAACGCATGTTCGTAAGATCGAAGTGAACATCCTCTTGAGTATCTTCAAGCACATAGATTATACACCTGACAGAATCATAGTATGCGCCTGCAACGCGTCCTCTGGAGAAAACACGCTAATATGCATTGGAAACATGCACTCATTGAACGACTTACGATTGGCAAGACATCGTCAAGCAGATCTGACTAGATGGTCAGCTCCACGGGACACAACACTCTTTGAGAAATTTCACCTTTGATGTGTTCGCATCGTCCTCCAAAATACTGTTCTTCGTATTTGCTACCGCTGCCACTGATTCAGAATTACCCTCCCATCTGACTTTCTTTCGTGGCAACTGGGAGCTCTCTTCAGTGTCAGACTCGGCTGTCTGATTTCGCTCGTGGTTTTGTGCGCTCTTAGCAACTTTATTTTTACGCTGATTAGAAGACCTATTTTGTTTTGTCCTCTTCATGTCGTTCCGATGTGTGTCTGTGGATGGTAAGCGGTAACTTGCAAGGCAACAACTTGAAGTTATACTTTTACGACTGACAGGCACTAGCAACCTTGCCAGATCCAAACCGAGTCCTCGCGAAATATCATTATGTCAGGTCTGAATATGTCATGTGCGGTTTCATTACTAGCGTCAACGCTTTTTGGCATGTCATTCATTCATGTAGGTGACCGAAAATCCCGCTACATACTTATCTTTTCATCTTTGTGTTCTACTAGTAATGCTGGACTCCGACTGGGAGTCGTCCACCAGAGACGCGCAATCAGCCAAGTAAATGCGTCAATAGAAGATGTGTGTTCCTGCAGTTTGAAGTTCAATGTGCAAGCTCATAGTCGACATGTGCATTTTCATTAGCAACGACGGTATGATGATGACGAGATGCGGACAAGGTAATAGGATTACTTCTTTACTTTCAGTAACTCTTTTGTGTCCTCTCCAGTCACTGTGTAACAAGGAATTTGTTAGTAGCAATCGTCACAAAGCAGGAGACAACATACCATTCAACAAGAGGCTCTGGGCATCTAACATCACTTTATTCCCTGAGGAGGCTAGCATGTTGGCGATATCCCTTGCGGCCTCAAGCCGACGAAGCTCCAGAAATCCTTTATTCGTGCGCATGGCTTCACCAATCAGCTCAGCACTCTTTGCCTCACCTTGAGCTCGCACTATAATAGACTGCAGAAGACACATCAGAACTAAGAAAAACCGATAATCACTGCAAGGATATATTACCTGCTTTTCTTGGATGGCCTGATCAACCAAGAAGGCAGCCCTCAAAGCTGTTTGTTGAGCGACCTATAGGGCAAGATTACCTCGGTGAATGGGATATGTACCAGATTACTTGCCTGCTTGGCCTCGACAGCATGTGTAAACTCAGGTGAAAACGCCACATGGGTAATAGACACATCGTCTAGCACCACATTAAAGCGCAATGCACGATTCGTCAAGTTCTCGCGAATTAACCGGGACACCTGACACATAACCCATCGTCATTTTACAACAGGGTAGCAGGTGAAAATACTCCGCACCATCTCACGTTGTGTAATAAGCTGACTTGCATTGAACTGTGCGACCACACTTTTGAGGACTTCGTTGACTATAGACGGTAGTACGCGCTCGTCATAGTCTTTTCCCAGTTCACGGTATATTTGAGGCAGGGCAGATACAGCCGGCCGGGACAGAACTCTGCAAGTAATGTTGACCATTTGCAAATCTACAATTCCAAATTAAGCGGGTACAGGTATGCCGCAAGCTGCAAACGTCACCTTTCGTGCCAGTCAAACTTGCTACACTCCGAGGCTTTGCACGAATGTCGAAAACTATTGGAGTCTCAAACCAGGGAACCTGAGGAGTGTAAGCAAACAAAATGCGTTTAAAAGAGTGGTACGGACCATGAGATGTGTCCCTTCACTGTACACCTCATCCTTAACACCCTGGAGACTGAAGCCAGATGAGCCATCAACTCAGAAGGCGCCTGACACAACAGCCTACCGAGTATATTTGATAGCTCTGTGACCACCATCAACTTATTTGAGTTGTCAGAAACCGCTACAAAAATCCCGATACGAGGCACACCGTTGAACAAGCTCGCATTCAGAAGAAGTCCACCGCCCACTAGCGCGACTATAAGGCCTCCGCCTGCGAGGAAGCGACCTGGACCTCCTGGCATCCCACCACCACCTCCTGACTGACTAGCCCTCTTTATTTGTTGAGCAAAATTTCTGAATGCGTCTTGACTATTCATGGTGTTGATTATGCCCTGCAGAGTGAAGAAAGTTCGAAGCCTACTACGCAACACACCGGCACACGTCACGTGCTCCTTCATGACATTTCAAATTTTGCCCCCAAAAAATCTAATCTTGATTTTGGTCTTGTTTTCTTCCATCTCCTTTAAGCGCTGAGCTACCAAGTGGTACCATCTGTAACTCATCAATGTTCGGGGAAGGAAATGCAGCCAGCAGTGTCGTGCGTAATTGCGTATTTCAATCGACCCCTGTGCTGACTTCGAATTTTATTGAAGCTTGGATGGATTTCAATAGCATGCTGGTCAGTGAGGCAAAGAATTTATGTCAAAAAATCAGACTCATGTTTCACAACCTCTGCAGGATTGTCGTTTATTCTCCTCAGATAATTGAGAATTACCAACTACAGAGCGGGGAGGGTTTATCCCTCCTTTTCATCTATGTATGGTTGCTAGGTGATGTATGTAATCTTATGGGTGCAGTGATGGCCGGATTGCTGCCTACCGTGATCATCCTTGGAGTTTATGTGAGTTTTATGTGTTACTTGTAATATACCTCCCTGATGTGATACCCTTATCGGCTAGTACACTTTATGCGACACAGTATTGCTTTGCCAAGTATACTATTACCGATGGAAGCGGCAAGCCGGGAGGCACGTTGTACCTGTGCACATCACAGGGGAGGTTTCCGAAGAAACCTGCCTTATTACTGATAGTCGCTCAGCGGATCCCCCCGAAAGACCGGAGCTCTCCATCACACGAATTTTTGTGCGGTACCTGGCTGCTGTCTCATTTGTATCAGTCACTGGTGTGGCAGCGTATTGTATCAGCAACTGGCTTCCCAGTGATGATACCTCTCCAGCCCTTCCAGATACGAAGCTGGATTGGCATATCCAGGTAATAGGGTGGACCAGCGCCTCTGCTTATCGTGTGTTCCTGTCATACCATGTGTGGATACCTTCACTTACCATCTTCCTCGACAGTTGGTGCTCGGCTGCCGCAAATAGGTTAGTATTACACACGCCTAACGCCAATCTCACTGTTCTAAATTTCCGTTCAGTCAAGAACTTCAAGACCAGATGTGAGGGTCTTGCCCCTGGGTTATTTGTCTTCTCTATTCTGGGAAACACGACATACGCATTATCTATTATTGCTGCGTCTCGCGACGCAGATTATCTGATCAGGAATGCAAGTTGGCTAGCAGGTATTTGCTCATGACTTATGTACTTAGTACATGCGGTTGACTAATCGCTTAAATCCTTTAGGTAGTGGTTTGACCGTCTTTCTCGATATTCTTGTACGTCCAATCGCTCTCTGCCAAATAGATTTCATTACTCAGAACTCTAATTCTCCTAACTTTAGGTGCTCAGCCAGTTCTTTTATTACGGATTTGTCTCAGGGCAGCGAGGCTGGATCGATAGAGTTCCGGTGTAATGCTCGATGTTACTATTAGAAACCCGTATGTACTGTTTCCTAGACCTAGTAGAACTTTACGGACTGCTGTTACGCATATGCTATCTATTTCAATCGTACCTTGCTGACCGAGATGACGCACGCTCGTGAAACTGATTGCATTGCCATTTTGCCCAAAAAAACATCAAGGGAGGATGTCTATGGTACAAATGACCCATATCCTTGGATTTTGCAGTTCTTGTTAACTGTGTGGGAAAGGGATTCGGATCGAACCAGGGACTTTGCACTTTGTTTGAATCTCACTTTGCCTCGTTGCTCTCCTCGTGTCCGAATTGCTATTTTGCCGCCGCACGTTGCAAGTTTCATCAAACAATTCCGGACGAAATGTCCTCCTGGAGTAACTCAATACAACATGCTCCTGGCCTCGTGCCAATTTCAACGGACACCGCAAGTTTCCATTATTTCGCAGGTACATTCTTATCCGTGCGATCAACTTAAAACCTTCCAGTTCTCGTCGGATTAGGTCCCCATCTTTCTGTCCGGTCAACTTTGTACGTACCAGGATGATCACAAATGCAGGCATGTCCTATCTTATTCATCGATTAACTGCGATGACACTTATGTGTACACGCACAGGTGGTGTTTGAAAACGTTCACGGCTAGTCAAGCCGCATTTTATTGAAAGCCCTACAACCACATCACCGTTATTAATTCAGCACTTTTACGTGCGGTTGTTCAGCACTCATAAAGAGTTCAGCGTCAACCACGTACCCATCGATCACCTGTAGCCATCATACTATATGATGCAGTGGCCATCTTTATCTCGCTCAGCTAGAGACGATACCACCACTATCATCGCTGATCGCCGTGGTTCAAAGTTACCCGATGTGACTGCCGCCTTTCTTACTCGGCCATCTAGCGTATCATCCTCGACGTCCTCATCACCAACGTCCCCTCCTCCACCTTATGAAGCGATTCATTTCCTATCTCAACCGGTTTCGCAATGCGTTCCGGGTTTTGTCCCAACGCCGTCTGCTAACGGCGGACCGCCTCGTCGTCGTGAAAGCTCTGCGCTATCCATGACACGATACAACGTCGACCACCCACTCTCAGGAGGAAGTTCAACTTCGGGTGTGTCCATCCCCCATTTGAGGGAGGCACTAGACTCCCTTGATACTCAGATGGCATCCTTGCTCAACCAGCGCCAGGAGCTAGAGTCGCACCTGGATCAAGTTGTTCGATCCCAATCTCCTATCCATCGAATTCCAGAAGAACTCCTTTCGTCGATATTCGTTGCAGGAGTGTGTAATATGGGAGAGGATGACCCACTATTGGTAGCGACCTTAATGTTGGTTTGCCGATATTGGAGGGACGTCGCCATCGACACCCCAGAACTGTGGGCGGATATCTGCGTGAGTCCGCACGACTCCCTTGAGAAAGCGCATCGCAAGCTCGCACGTTCAAAATCGGTACCTCTTGATATCACGATCAACTTCACTCCTCGAGTTGACAATTCGAGCGGCGCCATGGAGAGTATTATTCATGCGATGGATCTTATCCGTCCTGCGCTTTGGCGAGCAAGGTCCTTTCGCCTCAGTGTTCCCAACAAACCACAGGCACATGCTGCCCTTCTGCGCTGTAAAGAAGAAGCTCCCTATTTGGAAAGTCTCTGTATCCGCGTATTCCATTCTATGCAGGAAGATCATTACTCCAGCCCCTGCCTTCCGCTTTTTAAGGGGCACACTCCCCGCCTTCGTTCATGCTCTTTCACGTCCTTTAATTTCAATTGGGACAGGAGAGTTGTATCAAACCTGCGTGTGCTCCAACTAGGGGGCTACTGGAACGGGTCTTCACCATCTGTCGACACCTTGCTAGATATTCTGCGAGGCTGTCCAGGTCTCGAAGAACTTGCATTGCGCAACATGTCGGACGTGGATCCTGAAACTTGTGTTTCTCTCGAACATGAGTTTATTTCTACGAAGGTTGTGAAACTCCCAAGGCTTACCAAGGCATCGTTCTATTACGCAGGCATCATGCGCACGCGGATGCTTCTTAGTCAAATATCGTTCCCCGCGCTTGAGTCACTCGACTTCTGCTACCTCGACAACCTCACACCAGTTTTGGAGCACCTTCGACAGCAATCTCTTACTTCCCTTCCACTGAAGTATCTTCGTATTGAGTCAAGTTTCTTGAACGAACCGAAGTTTATAATACTACTTCAGCGACTAACATCATTGGTTACTCTGGAGTTGGTGGATGTGGAAGATATCACATGCTTCTTGTTGAAGGTGAGCATCCACATAACCGTGTCATTAGCGCATATTCCAATTACCTCTCATCAGAATCTTTCCTCGCCGCCTGTGGCACATCCTTGGGTGTGCCCCAAGCTAGACCGTCTCAATCTTGACGGGTGCACTGCACTCGAATGGGATGCTCTACGAGGACTTGTGGAATCTCGCCTCTCTGGTCGTCCACCTCAACACTCTTCTGCTTCGACTGCAGCAGCTTCGCGCTCATCCTTCGTATCCACCGCCTCTGCCTCTGCCCATATCCACGCCTTGTCCCTCAGCCGTTCTGCGACGCCCACAATGCAGCCTCGTCGTCTATCGTCGATTGATGTTACACGCTGCCATCAGATCAGCAAAGAGATGGTGCAGTGGCTCAAGATGTACGTCCGCGATGTTCGCTGTGAGCCAGCAAAGGGGATATGGGGAGAGTCTATACTACCTTAGTGCTGAGCAGCTCCCGATTAATATTTCTCGCGAACATGCACACCTAGATTGCAAATACTTGAATTGATGAGTGCTATGTGAATTTCCTGTACTGATTGTATACTGTACTTACCCGCACGATGGTGTCTGCATTATGTATGTAACGAAAAGACTGTCACTTATTAAAATATTGCTCGTGTACAGTTTGTAGTTTTCATGCAATTCACTTGATCTCTTTTAATACGAGGTCGTAAACTATTCGTTAAGATGTGCAAGCATATGTTTCCTTTCGTTCTCTTCGCGCTTTCGTACCTTCGCAAATCCTCTTCGACCTCGGCCAACTTCAACCCTCTTCTTTCGCAGCTCCTCAGAGGTCCTAATGTGGGATGCCAATGCCGCTTGGTTATGAGTAACCCGCTTCTTCGACTGCTTGTATGGGCCCTCGGTTTTCGCCTTCAAACCAATCCCGAGACGGTCAGATTTAAGTATCGTTGGAATAGGCGTCAACAGCGACTTCTGGGTGTACGGATCATGTTCTTTAGACGCACTGGACGCTGGAGCAAGCGGAAGGGAAGCAGATCGGTGGAAAGATTCAAAGTCATCTTCTGGCTCTGACTCTGATTCAGATTGGGTGAGATCAATGACGTCTGGGGGTATATCTCGAGATTTATTGTCGCCGACTGGTATGCTTGCCCCGCGCAAGGGTGCATGCGAGATTGATACAGGTGATCGGGGGCGCAGAGATCGAGCGACATGTGCACCAAGCCCTTCTCCTTCGTTCCAGCCACCCTTCTGTAGTAGATTGAAGCCTTTGTTGGATGGCCCTATTGCCAGCCAGACTGGAGGAACAAAACGTTCCTCCGATGGTAGCGGTGGTGGATCTCGTGCAAGAAGGTCTGCTAATGACGGTGCGGGAGAACTAGGTTTGCTCGGTGGTTCAGACTGAAGCGCTCTTTTGATGAACCAGTTGTTCTTGGTGGTGGCCTCCTTCTTTGGCTTACTAGTAGGAGCCTCACTGGGTGTACTTGACGATCTAGCTGTCAGCGGTTGGTTCCCCGACATCTTGGAGCTATCTTTTGTCAAAGCTTTGTACCACTCAGAGATCCCGCTATCTGGAGCAGAGACATTCGAAGATACTGTGTGGGTAAGCGAAACAGCAGAACCCCACTCGTCGTACTGAATGCGCGCGGGAACAAAAGATGGAGGTGGGGCATGGCGAGCAGCAGAGAAAGTTGGCGCTGTGTTCCATTGTTCTGTTTCGTCTATTGAAATTTGGCCCGTCTCTCTCTCTAGCTGCTCTCTATCTGCGGGATCATAGTCCGAACGAATGTGATGGGCGACAGTAGCCATACTAGTGATGGTCGTAAGCCCTTGGGGACGGGCCGTGGTTTGGCTGTCTTTGACTAAGCGACTCCACACTTATTTGGAAACAATCACCCCTGTTGTCACCTAGTATTTGATCACTTTAGAAACATCCAATATCCAAAATACGCTGATTGAGCCGTTATTACAGAATGTGCGTGTGAGGTGACAACAAATATATGATACCAGTGCTATGTCCACCAAATGAGATTTGAGATGACCTATCAACCGATAGGCATGTTGGAACCATTATACGAGAATCCTATGGCAGGCAGGGTGAGTCGAATCTCTTACATCTACAAGGACATCGTAATCGACATACCAGCGAACTGAGCTTGGACGGTGGATGAGAGGTGGGAGCCATCGACATAACTATCGATAGGCGCCTCGGCCGTGAAGACAGTGTCGAAGTTGGAAACATCCTAAACATCAACGGACTCAACAAACACATACTCCCAGGGAGACATGCACTTACCACGGGACTTGACACACTTGGCTTGAACGGTGGTTGAATCTTTTTCTGCAGAAGCTTCTTGAAGTCAATGTGGTTTACGAAGAAAGGGTGCTTCTTAATCTCCTCAGCGCCGTTCACTCCAAGTCGTTTCGAGGGATCTCTGTTGAGAAGACTAGTCAAGATGCTTCGGGCTTCTGTGCCAATGTCGGGGCCAAAGGTGAGCGGATCAGAAAGGAATTTTCTGATACATCTTGTCCGTGACCTCTGAGGTGGATGGTTAATGGTAGAGATACAAATACAGTGATAGGACAAACCATCATAGAAAGGTGGAAGACCGGAGAGCATCTCGTACAGAAGTACACCAAGAGTCCACCAATCAATTGACTTGTCTAAAATAGATGATCAGGAGATCATACGACAGGCGACGAAGTAGAACTGACTATATCCTTGACCGTTCAGGATCTCCGGTGCAAGATATTCCGGTGTGCCACAGAACGTGTTTGTCGTGTCTGAATCCTTCATATTGAGCTTACATAACCCGAAGTCGCACAATGCGATGTGTCCAGTATAATCCAGAAGAATGTTTTCTGGTTTCAGATCGCTGGACTTTGATGAGTACAGTATAAAAAGAGGGAGACGGTCTGCCTACCGGTAGACGACGTCGAGTTCATGTAAATGTTCCAGAGCCAATAGCAACTCAGCACTGTAGAATCGCGATCGTTCCTCGTTAAACCGCTGTTCGCGTTGCAAGTGGTGGAACAGTTCTCCTCCATTGACAAAGCTAAAGGGTGTACTCGTGAATAACCTCGAGAGGCGAACGTTGAAATAACCTTACGCAAGTACCAAGTACAGCTTCTGCTCGGATTGGAAACTGAACTTCAGGGGCACGATGAAGGGGTTTTCGACACGCGCGAGCACGAGCCGCTCGGCCAATGTGTGCGTGATTTCTTTTCGGTCGACTATATGAGCTTTGCGGATGGTCTTGAGGGCATATATCCGCATAGTGTCGCGCTTCCTGACCTGCATGACCTGCAAAGAACGTAAGTACGACCATTGGCACGTTAATGTTGCAACCCACCTTGCCAAAGCTGCCTTTTCCAATGACAGTGATGAGCTCAAATTCGTCAATAGTCAGAGATTGGCCCTGTCAACCCCGTTAGTCATAGATCGAAACTCGAAACATAAAGTCACTGACAGAACTAGGCTGGTATGCCACACCGATTTGAATTTTTCCTTTGCCACCTGTCATGTCGTGCCACTGATCTTGACCCACAACGCCAATGTTATCAAAGTCCGGCGTGAACTTGATTCCGCCCATGAAAATATCATTGCCCATATCATCCGCTAAACCATCACTGCCAACTTTGGGCTGTTCGGTTCTCAAGTAGCACTGTATTGAAATTTCTGAGTGGCGCGAGACGTCGCTGGCAGCGAATTCAGGACGAGTCGTAGGTGATATAATATAGACACTCACAACTGGGCCTGGTACATATACAGTGGTTTCTCCAGATCACCACCCAATGGGGTAATGAGGACTTGATTTACTTCGAATTCCATTACCAGGTAGGGTAGCCACCAGCATTGTGTACGCTGGATACTGTCTTTTGCGCCATGACGCTTCACGAGCCGCCTCTGCGTTACGCTCGAGGGAGATACAGACGCGGCGACTTTGGCTTGTTGCGTGGACAGCGCTGTTTGGACAGCAGAAGGGACCGTGGTGCCTACAGGAAGGGCCAGGTCTTCAGCCCATAGAACGCGTATGCTGAGAAGACCGGTCCGTGAAGCAGGTTTCCCGCCAGGATTACTTGGTGTCGGAGTAGTCGACCGCGGAGGCTCGTCGGGGCATCCAGCAGACAAGGTGGCTGTTGAAGCTTTTTTAGTCAATTTCCCGAATCCCTTCAACATAGCGTCTAGTCAATATTAATGACCAAAGGAAGAAAATATTGTGTAGTTAAGGCGACACGGGAGGATTACTCGGGATTGATGTGGGGGCAGTTGACGAAACAAGTTGATGGTCTATGCTATACCGTCGCAGTCAAGCGCGTTACAGTTTATGGAAGTCGGCAATAGCACGTGGCAAATTGATGTCTAGACTCTCCGAGTCGGACAACTCTACTACTAGTACTAGTACTGTGAAGCAACCGATGCGAGTCACAGCCCACATATGCTTAGGCATGCAGTCTTGAGCTTCGAAGTCGACAAGGGATTTTATGGAGCGTTATTATTAACTATCATTACCCGCGAAAGTGTCGCAGACCCTTTATTAGAACGAACTACGACTGTCTTTTTTTTCTTTTATAGGACTGGCTAGCCGGCATCACAAGCCTCCCCGAGCGCCGAAAGTGGCTTGCAGAGCATCGATAAGCAAGCGTATCACCATCGTGACAAGTACATACTTACGAGTCTATGCTTACTATGACTCACACACAGAGTCACACTGACACCCCCGCCGGGGGAACCCATGAGGAACTGATGGAGTCAAAGTCTTACGAGTGATGAGTGTATACGTACTTACTGCGCACGACACCCGATTGGCTCCCAAAGCTCATAATTCGAAAACTGTAGGACGATTTTAGGGCCGTCGTTCGAATAGGGAACTGTTAAGTTCTCCCAGCACCCTTTTAGCCAGTCAGACTTCGGCAGGTAAACTCAAAAGTCGATTGGGAGCCCAGTTTCTCTTCAGCGCCAAAGAAACCGTGAGTACTCCTCCGATACGGATGCTTCCATCCCGTCGGAAAACCCAACGCATGTCGACGGGTGATAATTGATCTAGAACCCCTTGTCCTTCCGACGGAAAGTCACTTCAGGAAGGACCACCGTTGGTGCAAGGCCTGGCCTAAGATAGTGCAAAATGCCGAGCACTTACACAGCACTAATTTACGTTGTCAATGACATAAAGGAGGCAGGGAAGTGTCTGATGCGGTGATCGCACCTCATACTGTGCTGCAACGGCAAGTCCTCCTGACCGACTCCTGACCTATCGCATTTTGGGGCAGTTTGGAATGTGTTTTCATAACGGTCAGGAACAACCCGGTTTCCGTACATTGGTGGCGGTAGACTCTCATGATCAGCCTATACAAAGATATGAAGATCCACCATGATTCGAGTAGTGGGCAACTATAAGGTCTCTCAGAAAAGGTAGTACGGGGAGTACGGTTATATCCATTGCTTGGAAATTAATAGACGTTGACCAGATCCCAGATGA